AATTCCGAGATGGGATGTGGCTTTAGTTTTATTTTTTAGAACAGGGATCTCCAACCTTGGCCACTGTAAGGCTTGTGGACTTCAACTCCCAGAATCCCCCAGCCAGCATGTTTTAAGAGGGGTGGACTTCCATTCCCAGAATTCCCCAGCCAGCATCCTTTAAGAGGGGTGGCCTTCCCCTCCCAGAATCTCCCAGCCAGCATCCTTTAAGAGGGGTGGGCTTCCCCTCCCAGAATCCCCCAGCCAGCATCCTTTAAGAGGGGTGGAGTTCCCCTCCCAGAATCCCCCAGCCAGCATCCTTTAAGAGGGGTGGGCTTCCCCTCCCAGAATCCCCCAGCCAGCATCCTTTAAGAGGGGTGGGCTTCCCCTCCCAGAGTCCCCCAGCCAGCATCCTTTAAGAGGGGTGGAGTTCCCCTCCCAGAATCCCCCAGCCAGCATCCTTTAAGAGGGGTGGACTTCCACTCCCAGAATCCCCCAGCCAGCCATGCTTTAAGAAGGGTGGACTTCCACTCCCAGAATCCCCCAGCCAGCATCCTTTAAGAGGGGTGGACTTCCACTCCCAGAATCCCCCAGCCAGCATCCTTTAAGAGGGGTGGACTTCCACTCCCAGAATTCATAACACTTGTGGATTTCGACATGGCTGGCTGGGGAATTCTGGGAGTGGAAGTCCCGAAGTCTTAAGTGGCCAAGACTGCTTTAGAGAAACCTCTCTCCTAGCTCACTCACCTTAACCGTCATATTTATATATGCAAGCAGGCAAAGCAAGCCCATTTTTCATCCGTTGGGAGAAACCTGGGTGTGTTATCAGAAGGTGACGAGGCAGTGAATCGTCATGCCAGAGAGTGTCTGCCTGTCATTCCTCACGTGCCTAGTCCACATTGAGTCCGTTCAGAGGTAGCACTGAGTAAACAGTGCTGAATGTTGCTTTCTTTCGCCACAGAGAAAAGGAATGTATTTCTAGCAAGACAAGAATTCTGGGAGTGGAAGTCCACCCATCTTAAAGCATGGCTGGCTGGGGAATTCTGGGAGGGGAAGTCCACCCCTCTTAAGGGATACTGGCTGGGGGATTCTGGGAGGGGAAGCCCACCCCTCTTAAGGGATACTGGCTGGGGGATTCTGGGAGGGGAAGCCCACCCCTCTTAAAGCATGCTGGCTGGGGGATTCTGGGAGGGGAAGCCCACCCCTCTTAAAGCATGCTGGCTGGGGGATTCTGGGAGGGGAAGTCCACCCCTCTTAAGGGATACTGGCTGGGGGATGCTGGGAGGGGAAGCCCACCCCTCTTAAAGCATGCTGGCTGGGGGATTCTGGGAGTGGAAGTCCTCCCCTCTTAAAGCATGCTGGCTGGGGGATTCTGGGAGAGGAAGCCCACCCCTCTTAAAGCATGCTGGCTGGGGGATTCTGGGAGAGGAAGCCCACCCCTCTTAAAGCATGCTGGCTGGGGGATTCTGGGAGTGGAAGTCCTCCCTCTTAAAACATTGCTGGCTGGGGAATTCTGGGAGTGGAAGTCCACCCTTCTTAAAGCATGGCTGGCTGGGGGATTCTGGGAGTGGAAGTCCACCCCTCTTAAAGCATGGCTGGCTGGGGGATTCTGGGAGTGGAAGTCCACCCCTCTTAAAGCATGGCTGGCTGGGGGATTCTGGGAGTGGAAGTCCACCCCTCTTAAAGCATGGCTGGCTGGGGAATTCTGGGAGTGGGAGTCCACTCATCCTAAAATTTCCAAGACACCAGAAATACTTGAGTAGAAAGTTAAAGAGACGATATTTGCATAACGAATGCAATAGTCAGCAAAACATGATTTAAGTTCAGGAAAGGAAAAACGCATTAGCAAGAAATTTTTTTTTAATCTACCGTCCTGGATTTCCTGGTGGTGCTCTATCCATCAAGCACTTAGTAGGCCAACCCTGATGAGCTTTTCAAGATCAACCGAGGTCAAACAGCTGCTGCCAGCTAATGCAACGAATTGGATGGCAACCTCTAATTTGCTGTTCCTCCTCCTAGACTCCACCCCCTTCAATTTCTCAAATTCTCCTACGTCACGAACTGGATATACATTAATATTACTAGCTAGTTACTCATTACACTGTTTGAGCGTATCTGGTCAAACTATGAGATATTTTGCAGCAATACTGCATACAACATCCCTCCCGGGGATACAGGTATTCCTCGACATATGACCACAATTTCAACCTGTCGCTAAGCGATGCGGTCGTTAAGTGAGTCATATGCAATTTTAAGACCCTTTTTTTTTTTTGCGTTAAGCAAATCACAGTCATTAAAGTGAATCTGGCTTGTGCCATGGACTTTGCTTGTTTGAAGCCGGCTGGGAAGGGGTTGCAAGCACATGATCCCAGAACAGTGCAGCTGTTAAAAATGCAGGTAGTTCCTCAACGTACGACCATAATTGAGCCCGAAATTTACGTCGTTAAGTGAGAAATTTGCTAGGTGAGTTTTGCCCCCTTTTTACGACTTTTCTCGCCGCGTTTGTTAAGTGAATCTCTGCAGTTCTTAAATTAGTAACACGAATCCGGCTTTCCTGTTGACTTTGCTCGTCAGAGGGTCGCAAAAGGGGACCAAGGGGTACCTCAACCGTCGTAAGTACATGCCAGTTGCCAAGCTTTGGAATTTTGATCACATGACCGGGGGGGGGTGTATACTGGAACCATCCTAAGTATGAAAAGTTTTTTCAATCCCGTTGTAACTTTGAACGGTCATTAAGTAAGCAAACCGTTGTAAGTCAAGGACACTCTGTACTAAACTAAATAAACTCCCACCCGTCCCAAATCTCCCCCGAGGAAGAGACTTTTGAAATAACTCGCTCTCTTTTTTTTCTCTCAAAGCTAGAGCCTGGAAGAGGATGGGTTTTGTAGTGGAGGCCATTTTGGATGTCTCTATTTAGGGCTCCTGAATAGTGATGGTTTTAAGTCCCTTTTTTTTCAGTCCCGTTGTAACTTTGAGAACGGTCATTAAGTAAGCGAACCGTTGTTAAGTCGAGGACCACCTGAGTGTATATATATATATACATACATCTTAGTTAGTAATCAGGAGCTCGAATGAATATGTTCGTCGCTCCCTCCTGTCCTCTTTACTCCAATAACCACCTTGTGAGGTAAAATCAGGTGAAGGAAAAGGTGCCACAAGGTGATGCAACAGGATTGATCTTGGCTTGTGTAATCACCACGATCGCCTGACTCCCAATTACGCTAGTTCACGATCCTTGCGTCAGGAACTGTCACATCATCTCTATTTTGCCACGTCATTTGGGCTCTCTCAGATTTGCAGATTAGTTGGAAGGGACCTTGTAGGTCATCTAGTCTAACCCCCACTCCCGCCCAAGTAGGAGAGTTCAGACAAGCTGCGTTTGCGCCACTCGCTCGAGGAAAGAGCAAACGGCTGCGAACCTTGGCTTGTTTTAACCTTGATCTGTTTTTGAGGTGCGAACGTTTGGGGAATGCTATGGATTCAATGCATTGGATACAACAACTGTAACGTGGATTAATTCAAAACCAGCATGTTGTGAGAACAAGGCCGCTATGAGTGCGTTCCCATGCAACACAGAGACTAAACCAGACATTGGTAGAATTGACAGCACAGAATTGCCTAACCAGGTTTAAAAAAAATCATCCTAAATCAAGGGCCTCCAACATTGGCAACTTTAGGACTTGTGGACTTCAACTCCCAGAATTCCCCAGCAAGCATGGTTGGCTGGGGAATTCTGGGAGTTGAAGTCCACAGGTCTTAAAGTGGCCAAGGTTGGAGGCCCCTCCCACTTTCCTGCACCAAGAGGGCATTAGCAAGACTTCAAGACATCCTAGGCCATTCCTCATTGGCCAGACAGGTGTCAGGGGGTGTGGCTTGCTCACTACAGCCAATCAGGGCTGGGGAAGTGCAACCAGCATTGCCAGCTGCTCCCAGAGAGTTCTATAATAGAGAGGCTCACAAGTGGGCTGGTCTGTCTCTTCAACTCTTTTGCACGGAGGACCCGGTAGGCAATAATAATAATAATAATAATAATAATAATAATAATAATAATAAATAATAAGGTTTCCATGTCCAGACAATCCTAAATATGGGGGAAGTGAGTTTAATCCTTTACACGATTGGATCCATTTCGATGCTAAATTTAACACATGAAAGAGAGAGTTGAGTGGTAATTCTGCTTTTTTTTTTGTAATTTGCAAATTTATTAACCCTTTTTATGGGCCCAATTAATTTTTTTAGGGGGGAATGAGTTTATTTATTTTTAAAATGTATATGCTGCTCATCTAACTATCCAAAGCAATTCTGGGTGGATTTGGGGGTTATTTGCAACTTCCTGCTTAATCCAGGTCTGTAAACTGGACTAGAAACTTGAAAAAGCAAATTGAAGAATGCAATGTGTCCATGATATTGCCAGAAATTGAGTTCGGCTCGGAGAATTTGATTTAATTTTAAGTGAAATATGGGAAGGAAGACAGAAAAGTTGGGATGGCAGTTAGGATTAAAAAAACCCTCCCTTTGTGGCTGCCATTTTGACTTTTTTGACCTTTTTGACTCCCTGCCTTGCAGGAAAACCACCTGCTTGCTACTGCTGTGTCTAATCCCCTTGTTGTGCCTTCCAGCTTAGAAACAAATCAATATTTAGATGTGTTTTTCCTTTGCAACCAGCTTCAATCCAGGTCTGTAAACTGGACTAGAAACTTGAAAAAGCAAACTGGAGGAGGATGTAATGTGCTCACGATGTCACCAGGAATTGAGCTCAGCTTGGAGAGTTTAATTTGAACTGAAATATGGGGAGGAAAGTCAGAAAAGTCAAGATGGTTGTCGGGATGAAAAGGCCCCTCTCTTTGTGGCTGCCATTTTGACTTTTTTGACTCCCTGCCCGTGGCTGCCATGTTGAAGCCCCTCGTTGCTTCTTCTGGCTGACCAATGTCCGATATTTAGACGTGTTTTTCCTTTGCAACCAGGCTCAATCCTGTTTCTCTTCTTTTTCCTTCCACCCTCTCTTGGCGCGTCAAACCCAGGCAGATCCCAAACGCCACACCTCACCTGGGCAGGTAGGTGTGACCCACTGCAGAATGACTGGACTTCCCTTCTCTTTGTCGTTGTGTTTTTAATTGTTTTCCGTTAGTCCTCCTGGTTCTTTGGGGCTTTCCTCTAATGTGGGTTTACTTTCCAGGATCACAAGATTCTAGGTTCCTGGGTGGACTTCAACTCCCAGAATTCCCCAGCCAGCAAGGCCACACCCCCTGCTGAGAATTCTGGGAGCTGGAGGCCACACGGTTGGATTGGGAAATGTTACAGTCTAGATATTCTCAATTTTGGACACTTTAAGTTGTGCGGACTTCAACTCCCAGAATTCCCCAGTCAGAAAGGCCACACCCCCTGCTGAGAATTCTGGGAGCTGGAGGCCACACAGTTGGACTGGGAAATGTTACAGTCTAGAGATTCTCAATCTCGGACAGTTTAAGTTGTGTGGACTTCAACTCCCAGAATTCCCCAGTCAGCAAGCTGGCAGGGAATTCTGGGAATTGAAGTCCACAAACCATAAAGTGGCCAAGGTTTGAAAAATACTGTAATTTAATCCAATTCAGTGGTCTCTGTAAAGAAAGGGTCACAAAAAATTGAGATGGTGGCCGCAATCACACAGTTGTTTGTTTTTTAACATGGCTTGTGGTTATGGCCTCCATTTTGACTCTTTTGACCCTTTCGGCCTGAACTCCATTCAACTTCCTGCTGTCTTTCAAGACGAAGTGATTTTTTTTTAGTCAGGATTATGCCACTTTCCATCCTGCCTTCCCTGAGGCGCAATTAGACTACATTTCCCATCGTTCTCTACCGATAACCTGGTGTAATTGGTAGTAAAGTCTAGCAAAATTGAAGGGAAGGTCACTGTGATTCATCCATGGACAAGGAAAAGTCCTTGAAGAGAACATCCTGTCCCAAAGATGGGATAGTTCTGGGATAATAGAGAGGATAAAAGAGGGAAAGGACATTTCACGTTGATGCCCTCAGGAAGTTATAGCGACAGATAGACTCTTCTTGTCCAAGGAGCTTTGATAGATGGATGGATGGATGGATGGATGGATGGATGGATGGATGGATGGATGGATAGATGGATGGATAAATTGATAAATGGAAAGATGAATGGATAGATGGATAGATGGATGATATATGAAAGGATGGATGGATGGATCTATGGGTGGATGGATAGATGGATGAATGTATCTATAGGTGGATGGATAGATGGATAGATGGATGGATGAATGGAAAGATAAATGAATGGATGGATAGATGAATAGATGAATGATATATGGATGGATGGATGGATCTATGGGTGGATGGAAAGATGGATGAATAGATGGATGAATGGATCTATAGGTGGATGTATAGATGTATAGATGGATGGAGCTATGGATGGATGGATGGATGGATAAATGGAAAGATAAATGAATGGATGGATAGATGGATGATATATGGAAGGATGGATGGATGGTTAGATGGAAAGATAAATGAATGGATGGATGGATGGATCTATGGATGGATGGATCTATGGATGGATGGAAAGATGGATGGATGATATATGGAAAAACGGATGGATGGTTAGATGGAAAGATGGATAGATGGATGGATCTATGGATGGATGGAAAGATGGATGGATGGATAGATGGATGATATATGGAAAGATGGATGGATGATGGATGGTTAGATGGAAAGATAAATGAATGGATGGATGGATGGATCTATGGATGGATGGATCTATGGATGGATGGAAAGATGGATGATGATATATGGAAAAACGGATGGATGGTTAGATGGAAAGATGGATAGATGGATGGATCTATGGATGGATGGAAAGATGGATGGATGGATAGATGGATGATATATGGAAAGATGGATGGATGATGGATGGTTAGATGGAAAGATAAATGAATGGATGGATGGATGGATCTATGGATGGATGGATCTATGGATGGATGGAAAGATGGATGATGATATATGGAAAAACGGATGGATGGTTAGATGGAAAGATGTATAGATGGATGGATCTATGGATGGATGGAAAGATGGATGGATGGATAGCTGGATGATATATGGAAAGATGGATGGATGATGGATGGTTAGATGGAAAGAAATGAATGGATGGATGGATGGATCTATCGATGGATGGAAAGATGGATGGATGGATGGATGATATATGGAAAAAAGGATGGATGGTTAGATGGAAAGATGGATAGATGGATGGATGGATGGATGATATATGGAAAAAAGGATGGATAGTTAGATGGAAAGATGGATAGATGGATGGATGGAAAGATGGGTGGATGATGGATGGTTAGATGGAAAGATAAATGAATGGATGGGAGATGGATAGAGATAGACAGATAGATGATAGACAGCTCTCTTCCTGTTCCATAACTCTCACTAATCCAGCTTTTTATCCAATACATCCAACAGTTCTCACTTTTTTCTGGAGATCGAAGCTTTTGAGAGCAACGCATCACCAAGCCGGACGTCTCCCCCCATCTTCTCCAAGCCAATGGATTCCAACATCCGCCCATGGTGGGTACTGATGGATTCCTCTGTTTTATTGGATTGATAAGCCCCCTCCCCCACCCCCTCCCCAAATCCCCAAAACAACGTGGGATGAACATTGCGCCGGAAGCATTAAATCAGCGCATGTCCCGTGTGCATTCAGACCTCCTGATCGGGGTGGGGGGGTGGGGGGGGAGGGAATGGAAAAGCCGGAAAGGGGGGGTCACAACCAGGGGATAAAACCCCTTTTTTCTCTTCCCCTTATAAAATTTATAACCCCCTGCACAAACCCTCAGTGTCTGCATTTTATTTATTTTATTTATTAAACACACAAAATAAAAAAATTCTGCGTGAATGAACCGCAGCTAATCCTCGACCTATGACCACCTCGGAGACCCAAATGTCCGTCGCTAAGCGAGGCAGTTGTGAAGTGAGTTCTGCCCCGTTTCACGACCTTCCTTGCCACCGTTGTTAAGCGAATCACTGCAGATGTTAAGTGAGTAACAGGGTGGTTGAGTGAATCTGGTCCTCCCTCGTTGACGTGGCTCGAAAGAAGGTCGCAAAAGGAGATCACGTGACCCCCCCTCCCCCTCCTCCCCGGGACACTGCCACCGTCATAAACATGAATCGGTTGACGTGAATTTTGATCACGTGACCATGGAGATGCTGCAACGGTCGTAAGTGTGGGAAAAGGGTCATAAGTCGCTTTATTCAGTGGTGTTATAACTTCGTCACTAAACAAATGATTGTAAGTCAAGGACTACCTGAATATACCTTACCTGTCTCTTGCAATGTCCAGAAGTTGCATCCTATCAGAGCCGTAAGCACAAAAGTTTCTCCCCTTTCCTCAAATTTTGAAATCTTGGAGGATTTCCTCAGGAGCTTGGAATCATTAAAGCCTAGCATGGGAAGGGTCCCTGGAGGTCATCTAGCCCAACCCCCTTGCTTTGTGCAGGAATTCAAGGGAAGGTAGCCCAGCCAGAGGACGTTGTCCAAACCAAACTCTCCTTGAACATGTCCAGCATTGGGCAGCCCTCTTCCTCAACCACTGTAGTAAATTGTTGGAAACTTGCATTTTAATTTGGGGGGGGGGTCCCAAGGGGGAGAAATTCAGAGTGATGTGGTGGCCTAGAGGTGGAGCTCTCGCCTCAGGATCAGGAGGCTGTGAGTTTGATCCTAGATAGAGGCAGATATTTCTCTCTCTGGGCACAATAAGAATATATCTGCCGAACAAAACTCCGCATTGGTGACAGGAAGGGCATCCGGCCATTAAACATTCTGCTAGCTTCATTCAGTGGCCCGGACTCCACTCCGCAAGAGATGATGGGGTCGTTAAATGATGATGATGAAGGAGGAGAAATTCAGAAAGGACGTCGCTGGCAGGTTCATGTCATCTTCTTCCAATGATTGATTCATAGAAGAAATATCCCGATAATAGATTCAGATATTTTCCCGACCTTCACATTTCTTTTTCGTTTCTTTTTCACGCAGTGCCTCCGCCAACTGCGAGGATATGGATTCTCCCCAGTCAATTCAGGATGATATGACGGAATATACCCCAAATGCTGAGAGTTGGTAAGAAGGCATGGATTGTTGGGGTGGCGATGGAAGGGTCTGTGAGGTGGGGGCCTATAGGCCAGCCGATAGGTCAGTCTTGGCGACTTGAAGATGGGTGGGCTTCACTTCCCAGAATAACCCAGTTAGTAGGCCTTAAAAGGGTGGAGCAACTCAGAGAATTCCCCAGCAAGCGTGCTTTAAGATGGGTGGACTTCCACTCCCAGAATCCCCCAGCCAGCAGGCTTTAAGAGGGGTGGGCTTCCACTCCCAGAATCCCCCAGCCAGCAGGCTTTAAGATGGGTGGACTTCCACTCCCAGAATCCCCCAGCCAGCAGGCTTTAAGAGGGGTGGGCTTCCACTCCCAGAATCCCCCAGCCAGCAAGCTTTAAGATGGGTGGACTTCCACTCCCAGAATTCCCCAACCGGCATGCTTTAAATTGGATGGACTTCCACTCCCAGAATTCCCCAGCCAGCAGGCTTTAAGAGGGTTGGGCTTCCACTCCCAGAATTCCCCAGCCAGCAGGCTTTAAGAGGGGTGGGCTTCCACTCCCAGAATTCCCCAGCCAGCAGGCTTTAAGATGGGTGGACTTCCACTCCCAGAATCCCCCAGCCAGCAGGCTTTAAGAGGGGTGGGCTTCCACTCCCAGAATCCCCCAGCCAGCAAGCTTTAAGAGGGGTGGACTTCCACTCCCAGAATTCCCCAACCGGCATGCTTTAAATTGGATGGACTTCCACTCCCAGAATTCCCCAGCCAGCAGGCTTTAAGAGGGGTGGGCTTCCACTCCCAGAATTCCCCAGCCAGCAGGCTTTAAGAGGGTTGGGCTTCCACTCCCAGAATTCCCCAGCCAGCAATGCTTTAAGATGGGTGGACTTCCACTCCCAGAATTCCCCAGCCAGCAGGCTTTAAGATGGGTGGACTTCCACTCCCAGAATTCCCCAGCCAGCAGGCTTTAAGAGGGGTGGGCTTCCACTCCCAGAATTCCCCAGCCAGCAGGCTTTAAGAGGGGTGGGCTTCCACTCCCAGAATTCCCCAGCCAGCAGGCTTTAAGAGGGGTGGGCTTCCACTCCCAGAATTCCCCAGCCAGCAGGCTTTAAGAGGGGTGGACTTCCACTCCCAGAATTCCCCAGCCAGCCATGCTTTAAGAGGGGTGGGCTTCCACTCCCAGAATCCCCCAGCCAGCCATGCTTTAAGAGGGGTGGACTTCCACTCCCAGAATTCCCCAGCCAGCCATGCTTTAAGAGGGGTGGGCTTCCACTCCCAGAATCCCCCAGCCAGCATGCTTTAAAAAGGGTGGACTTCCACTCCCAGAATCCCCCAGCCAATATGTTTCAGTCCACCCAATCACCAAGATTGGGAAAATCCACTGTAGATTAATTGCTGGACTTGATTAGAATTATTGATTATGTCTTTTTCTCCTGATGTGGCCTGACCTCAAGGTTTCCAAAAATTGATTGGAAGGCATCTAGATGGAACATGGGTCCAGTTATATGTGTATGTTATGTTCTTTCTGCTTGTGTGTCTTTGAATGAATCCCCCCCCCCAAAAAAACCTCATAGCATTCGTAGAGACCCTTCCGAGCAATTTTATTATTGGTTGCACAACATCCTGACTAGGTAGGCCAGTCTGATGCGCTCCTCGTGTCAAAAAAAAAAAACCACTCACCTTCCCCAAACAGGGGGAGATGTGGCTTGCCCCTTCCTTAGTCTGCACCCAAAAAGCACCCACATTTTTTTCTCTTTTCCCCAGCACGAATTCAACCCAAAACGCTCAGCCGAACAGTCGTCGTAAGAAGCTGAAAAAATACCTTTTCCGGGCGGTTACGGAAGGAAATCTGGAGGATCTACAAAGTGTTCTGGCGGAAATGAAGGAACGGTCTCACCGGTGCCAAAATTTGACCGTCCAAGGTTGGTGCCCTTTGCTCTAACCTCTGCAGGGAGGAAAAAGTTGAATTTCCATGGCCGGAATAATTTTAGGGGGCTTGGATGCCGAGAACGAAGGAGGCACCCCAGTGGTGAAATCCAATTTTTTTTTTTACTACCGGTTCTACGGGGGTAGCTTGGTGGGTGCGGTGTGGCTTGGTGGGCGTGGCAGGGGAAGGATACTGCAAAATCCCCATTCCCACCCCACTCCTGGGGGAAGGATACTGCAAAATCCTCATTCCCATCCCACTCCTGGGGGAAGGATACTGCAAAATCCCCATTCCCACCCCAGTCCTGGGGGAAGGATACTGCAAAGTCCTCATTCCCATCCCACTCCTGGGGGAAGGATACTGCAAAATCCCCATTCCCTCCCCATTCCTGGGGGAAGGATACTGCAAAATCCCCATTCCCACCCTAGTCCTGGGGGAAGGATGCTGCAAAATCCTCATTCCCTCCCCACTCCTGGGGGAAGGATACTACAAAATCCCCATTTCCTCCCCACTTGGGGGAAAGATATTGCTAAATCTCCATTCCCTCCCCCACTCCAGGGGAAGGATACTGCAAAATCCCCATTCTGTCCCCACTCCTAAGGGAAGGATATTGCAAAACCTCCATTCCCTCCCCACTCTGGGGCCAGCCCGAGGTGGTATTTGCCGGTTCTGCGAACTACTCAAAATTTCCGCTACCGGTTCTCCAGAACCTGTCGGAACCTGCTGGATTTCACCCCTGAGGCACCCGCTTCCAGGGGGCTACAAGCGCTGCATTTAAGAGCATCCTTGTCAGAAATGTCCAGAGAATCGTGAAAGAACTGCCCCATTTTTTGCGAGTTTGGTCCAGTGGTTAAGGCACCAGGCTAGGAACCAGGAGGCGGTGAGTTGTAGTTTTGCCTTAGGTAGGAAAGTTGGCTGTGTGACTTTGGGCCAATCACCAGGAGACGCTGAGTTCTAGTGCTGCTTTAGCCATGAAAGCGGGTGGGTGAGTTTAGGCCAATCACCAGGAGACAGGGAGTTCTAGTGCTGCCTTAGCCATGAAAGCGGGTGGGTGAGTTTGGGCCAATCACCAGGAGACAGGGAGTTCTAGTCCTGCCTTAGCCATGAAACTGAATGAGTGACTTTGGGCCAATCACCAGGAGACGGTGAGTTCTAGTGCTGCCTTAGCCATGAAAGCGGGTGGGTGAGTTTGGGCCAATCACCAGGAGACGGTGAGTTCTAGTGCTTCCTTAGCCATGAAAGCGAGTGAGTGACTTTGGGCCAATCACCAGGAGACGGTGAGTTCCAGTCCTGCCTTAGCCATGAAAGCGGGTGGGTGAGTTTGGGCCAATCACCAGGAGACTGGGAGTTCTAGTCCTGCCTTAGCCATGAAAGCGAGTGAGTGACTTTGGGCCAATCACCAGGAGACGGTGAGTTCCAGTCCTGCCTTAGCCATGAAAGCGGGTGGGTGAGTTTGGGCCAATCACCAGGAGACAGGGAGTTCTAGTCCTGCCTTAGCCATGAAACTGAGTGAGTGACTTTGGGCCAATCACCAGGAGACAGGGAGTTCTAGTGCTGCCTTAGCCATGAAAGCGAGTGAGTGACTTTGGGCCAATCACCAGGAGACGGTGAGTTCTAGTCCTGCCTTAGCCATGAAAGCGGGTGGGTGACTTTGGGCCAATCACCAGGAGACGGTGAGTTCTAGTGCTGCCTTAGCCATGAAAGCGACTGAGTGACTTTGGGCCAATCACCAGGAGACGGTGAATTCTAGTCCTGCCTTAGCCATGAAAGCGAGTGAGTGACTTTGGGCCAATCACCAGGAGACGGTGAGTTCTAGTCCTGCCTTAGCCATGAAAGCGGGTGGGTGAGTTTGGGCCAATCACCAGGAGACGGTGAGTTCTAGTGCTGCCTTAGCCATGAAAGCGGGTGGGTGACTTTGGGCCAATCACCAGGAGACAGTGAGTTCTAGTGCTGCTTTAGCCCTGAAAGCGGGTGGGTGACTTTGGGCCAATCACCAGGAGACGGTGAGTTCTAGTGCTGCCTTAGCCATGAAAGCGAGTGAGTGACTTTGGGCCAATCACCAGGAGACGGTGAGTTCTAGTCCTGCCTTAGCCATGAAAGCGAGTGAGTGACTTTGGGCCAATCACCAGGAGACGGTGAGTTCTAGTGCTGCCTTAGCCATGGAAGCGGGTGGGTGAGTTTGGGCCAATCACCAGGAGACGGTGAGTTCTAGTCCTGCCTTAGCCATGAAAGCGGGTGGGTGACTTTAGGCCAATCACCAAGAGACAGTGAGTTCTAGTGCTGCTTTAGCCATGAAAGCGGGTGGGTGACTTTGGGCCAATCACCAGGAGACAGGGAGTTCTAGTGCTGCCTTAGCCATGAAAGCGGGTGGGTGATTTAGAGCTAGTCCCTCCCTCTCAGCCCAATCCACCTCACAGGGTTGTTGTTGTGAGGAAAACAGGAAGATTTGTTGGATATGTTCGTGTTGATGTATTTGTAAAATATAATAAAGGTGGGGTATAAATAATAAACAAACAAACAAAAAACAAACAAAAAAAAAAAAAAAACAATTATTTGGGGATTGGGGACATGGTAGGACTTCGACCTTCTGAGAGGGGATCTAGTAGTTTTTGGAAGTACCGTAACTCTTTGGAAACAAGAAATAGTTTCTGGTGGTATCAGATGGGGTGAATGGACACATCCTCGGAGAAATATAGAATGTTCCAGAATTCCTTGGAATATTCCAGAGTTCCCTGTAATGTTCTGCTATTCTCCAGAATGTTCTGATTTTGTCCAGAAAGTTCTGGTCCTCTCTAAAATGTTCTGCTTTGCAGAAAGTCTTTATTTTCTCCAGAATGTTCTGGCTTAATCCAGAATGTTCTGGTTTTTTCCAGTAAGGTTTGGTTTTTCTCCAGAACAGAATGGTTTTCTCCGGAAAGTTCTGGTATTCTCCAGAATATTCTGTCCTGGTTTTCTCTAGAAAATTCTGGTATTCAGAATGTTCTGGCCTTCCTTCAGAATTTTATTGTTTGTCTCTAGAAAGTTCTAGTTTCCTCCAGAATGTCCTGGCTTTCCTTCAGAATGTTTTGGCTTTTCCTCTAGAAAGTTCTGGTTTTCTCCAGGAAGGTGTGGTTTTCTCCGGAACATTCTGTTCTGGTTTTCTCTAGAAAATTCTGGCATTCTCCAGAATGTTCTTGTTTTCCCTAGAAAGTTCTGGTTTCCTCTAGAACATTCCGTTTTTTTCTAAGATGTTCTGGAATTCAATGAATGTTTTTTCTCCAGAATAGCAAGTTTTGTCCATTCATAATAAGAAACATTAATTTTTTTTGCACCCCGCCCTATGAACAATCGTTTGGATCCCCATCACCGCAATGACTGGATACCTGCAATTACTTTATTAATTATTTTTTTAAACGAGCTTTTGGTGCAATTATGCCTTCTCATTTGCCTCCCGAGAAAGGGATTGGTAATTTCCTCCTAGTTACATGGCGGTAGCATCCCCAATCAGCCCTTAATTAACACGGAGGGACATCCGCGATAATTTATCCTTATTTTGCAGAATATCTGATGAATAAAATGACCTCTTCAGACACCGGGAAAACCTGCCTCATGAAAGCTCTGCTGAACATCAACCAAAACACCAAAGAAATTGTGAATATGTTGCTGTCGTTTGCCGAAGAAAACCAAATCCTCGAAAAACTCATTAACGCGGCCTACACCGAGGAAGCCTATAGAGGTATTGGCGCCCGTTCCAGGGTTGAAAATTTTGCAAAAAAAATGTCAGAGAATTACTTCCCTCGTGCACCCTGGGAAGGCTCCGGAAGGTTTACAGGTAGTCCTCAATTTACGGCCACAATTGAGCCCACAATTTTCGTTGCTAAGCAAGACGGTCATTAAGTGGGTTTTGCCTCATTTTATGACCTTTCTTGCCACAGTGGTTAAGGGAACCATTGCAGTTGTTCAGTTAGTCACACGGTTGTTAAGTGAATCCCATTGTCGTGGCTTGTCAGAAGGTCGCCAAAGGAGATCACATAACTCCGGGTCACTGCAACTGTCATAAATGTGAGTCAGTTGTTCCAGCATCTGAATGTAAATCATGTGGATAGCTGCAACGGTCATAAGTGTGAAAAACAGTCGTAAGTCACTTTTTTCAATGCCGTTGTAAATTCGAACGGTCACTAAATGAACTATTTAAGTCGAGGACTACCTGTATATCGGCTGGGTAGCGGAGAAAAAATGATATTATAGGTACTGGTTAGCACTCAAACAAAACCCTCAATCTAGTGAGAAATTCACCCAGAAGATAAACGGAAGTATGTATTTTTCATTCTTAGTCCGTTCAGTGACCATTCAAAGTTGCAACAGCACTGAAAGAAGTGACTTACGACCGCTTTTCACACTTACGACCCTGGCAATGTCCCCATGGTCACATGATCAAAATTCAGATAGTTGGAAACTGACTTGTACTTATGACGGTTGCAGTGTCCCGGGATCATGTGATTCCCCTTTGGCGACCTTCTGACATGCAGGGAAGCCAGATTCGCTTAACAACCACATTACTAATTTATCAACGGCACTGATTCGCTTAACAACCATGGCAAGAAAAGTCGTAAAACAGGACAAAACTCATTTACCAACTGTCTCGCTTAGCAACCGAAATTGTGGGCTCAGTTGTGGCCGTAGATTAAGGTCAGGATCTGTTATTAATGCCTTTTAAAAGGCGACTGTCCTTACTTACCAGAGGTATCCATAGTAGAGGGCAAAAAAGTCAAAATGGCAGCCTCCACTCAACAATCAGATCAGTTTAATAGAGTTGGAAGGGACCTTGTAGATCATCTAGTCCAACCCGTCCAAGCAAGAGACCCTATACCAGTGATGGCTAACCTTTTTGCCGTCGCGTGCCAAAAGCGGACGTTCCAGTGGGGGGTTGCGGGTACTTCTGCCCACATCCATAATTCAATGCGTCCTGCCCTTCCGCGCATGCGCACACAACCCCCCCTCACGCAACCCCCCCGCTTTTTGCACATGATGGCCCGGTGGGCCCAGTAGGCCCATTTTTCACCCTCCCCAGGCTCCAGAGGCTTTCTTGGCGCCTGGGGAGGGCGAAAACGGCCTCCCCCATCGCCCGGAGGCCCTCTGGAGGCCAGAAACAGCCGGTTTCCTGACTTCTGGTGGGACCGGAAGGCCCGAAAATCAGGTGGCCGGCGCGCACATGCGTGCTGGAGCTGAGCTAGGGCAATGCTCGCGTGCCCACCAATAAGGCGGGCCACGCGTGCCATAGATTTGCCATCACGGCCCTACACCATTTCTGACAGATGGCAGTCCAGTCTCTTCTTGAAAGCTTCCAGATGTTTTTTGACGTCCTCCAGCATGGACCTTCTTAGCCGCCCCCCTTTTTTTCCTTAAAGACGGGGTACATCTGACATCCAAAAATATGTCTCTCCAAAAAGCGGGGTTCACTCCTGAGATTTCCTTAGGCCTCAGTGCACCCCCATTTCTTCTGGACAGCCCTGAAAATGAGAAAGAACCAAGTTTGAATAGGTTGAGCGCGTTCGTGTAAAAGTTTAACCACGTTGACCAACACCCTTAGTGTGTCATAGCCACAACAACATTTAAGGTCATAAAATAAGTGTCCAGGGTGGACGAGAAAAACTGTATTCCGCTTTACCCAAGGAAGCGAATTATAAGCAATAAAGACGCTTCCTGAAAGATAATTTTTGAAAGAGAAGCTCGATGAAAGGTTAAAATGAAAGAAACCACGATTAGTTGAATGACACAGCCTGCTGCTCACACGGAGTTCAAAAGCAAAAGAGGTTTATCTTCTAAATCAGGGTTTCTCGAGCTTGGCCACTTTAAGAGGTGTGGACTTCCGCTCCCAGAATTGCCCACCTAACATGGGAGTTGAACTCCATTCATTTTAAAGCATGCTGGCTGGGGGATTCTGGGAGTGGAAATCCACCCATCTTAAAGCATGCTGGCTGGGGGATTCTGGGAGTGGAAGTCCACCCCTCTTAAATCATGGCTGGCTGGGGAATTCTGGGAATGGAAGTCCACCCCTCTTAAATCATGGCTGGCTGGGGAATTCTGGGAGTGGAACTCTACCCATCTTAAAGCATGCTGGCTGGGGGATTCTGGGAGTGGAAGTCCACCCCTCTTAAAGCATGTTGGCTGGGGAATTCTGGGAGTGGAAATCCACCCCTCTTAAAGCATGTTGGCTGGGGGATTCTGGGAGTGGAAGTCCACCCCTCTTAAATCATGGCTGGCTGGGGAATTCTGGGAATGGAAGTCCACCCCTCTTAAATCATGGCTGGCTGGGGAATTCTGGGAGTGGAACTCTACCCATCTTAAAGCATGTTGGCTGGGGGATTCTGGGAGTGGAAGTCCACCCCTCTTAAAGCATGTTGGCTGGGGAATTCTGGGAATGGAAGTCCACCCCTCTTAAATCATGGCTGGCTGGGGAATTCTGGGAGTGGAACTCTACCCATCTTAAAGCATGTTGGCTGGGGGATTCTGGGAGTGGAAGTCCACCCCTCTTAAAGCATGTTGGCTGGGGAATTCTGGGAGTGGAAATCCACCCCTCTTAAAGCAAGCTGGCTGGGGAATTCTGGGAGTGGAAGTCCACCCCTCTTAAAGCATGTTGGCTGGGGGATTCTGGGAGTGGAAGTCCACCCCTCTTAAAGCATGTTGGCTGGGGAATTCTGGGAATGGAAGTCCACCCCTCTTAAATCATGGCTGGCTGGGGAATTCTGGGAGTGGAACTCTACCCATCTTAAAGCATGCTGGCTGGGGGATTCTGGGAGTGGAAGTCCACCCCTCTTAAAGCATGTTGGCTGGGGAATTCTGGGAGTGGAAATCCACCCCTCTTAAAGCATGCTGGCTGGGGAATTCTGGGAGTGGAAATCCACCCCTCTTAAAGCATGCTGGCTGGGGAATTCTGGGAGTGGAAGTCCACCCCTCTTAAAGCATGTTGGCTGGGGAATTCTGGGAGTGGAAATCCACCCCTCTTAAAGCATGCTGGCTGGGGAATTCTGGGAGTGGAAGTCCACCCCTCTTAAAGCATGTTGGCTGGGGGATTCTGGGAGTGGAAGTCCACCCCTCTTAAAGCATGTTGGCTGGGGGATTCTGGGAGTGGAAGTCCACCCATCTTAAAGCAAGCTGGCTGGGGGATTCTGGGAGTGGAAATCCACCCCTCTTAAAGCATGTTGGCTGGGGGATTCTGGGAGTGGAAGTCCACCCCTCTTAAAGCATGTTGGCTGGGGAATTCTGGGAATGGAAGTCCACCCCTCTTAAATCATGGCTGGCTGGGGAATTCTGGGAGTGGAACTCTACCCATCTTAAAGCATGCTGGCTGGGGGATTCTGGGAGTGGAAGTCCACCCCTCTTAAAGCATGTTGGCTGGGGAATTCTGGGAGTGGAAATCCACCCCTCTTAAAGCAGGCTGGCTGGGGGATTCTGGGAGTGGAAGTCCACCCATCTTAAAGCAAGCTGGCTAGGGAATTCTGGGAGTGGAAGTCCACCCCTCTTAAAGCATGTTGGCTGGGGAATTCTGGGAGTGGAAATCCACCCCTCTTAAAGCAAGCTGGCTGGAGAATTCTGGGAGTGGAAGTCCACCCATCTTAAAGCATGCTGGCTGGGGGATTCTGGGAGTGGAAATCCACCCCTCTTAAATCATGGCTGGCTGGGGAATTCTGGGAGTGGAACTCTACCCATCTTAAAGCAAGCTGGCTGGAGAATTCTGGGAGTGGAAGTCCACCCATCTTAAAGCATGCTGGCTGGGGGATTCTGGGAGTGGAAGTCCACCCCTCTTAAAGCATGCTGGCTGGGGGATTCTGGGAGTGGAACTCTACCCATCTTAAATCATGGCTGGCTGGGGAATTCTGGGAGTGGAACTCTACCCATCTTAAAGCATGCTGGCTGGGGGATTCTGGGAGTGGAAGTCCACCCCTCTTAAAGCATGTTGGCTGGGGAATTCTGGGAGTGGAAATCCACCCCTCTTAAAGCATGCTGGCTGGGGGATTCTGGGAGTGGAAGTCCACCCATCTTAAAGCAAGCTGGCTGGAGAATTCTGGGAGTGGAAGTCCACCCCTCTTAAAGCATGTTGGCTGGGGAATTCTGGGAGTGGAAATCCACCCCTCTTAAAGCATGTTGGCTGGGGAATTCTGGGAGTGGAACTCTACCCATCTTAAAGCAAGCTGGCTGGAGAATTCTGGGAGTGGAAGTCCACCCATCTTAAAGCATGTTGGCTGGGGAATTCTGGGAGTGGAAATCCACCCCTCTTAAAGCATGTTGGCTGGGGAATTCTGGGAGTGGAACTCTACCCATCTTAAAGCATGCTGGCTGGGGGATTCTGGGAGTGGAACTCTACCCATCTTAAAGCAAGCTGGCTGGGGAATTCTGGGAGTGGAAATCCACCCCTCTTAAATCATGGCTGGCTGGGGAATTCTGGGAGTGGAACTCTACCCATCTTAAAGCATGCTGGCTGGGGGATTCTGGGAGTGGAAGTCCACCCCTCTTAAAGCATGTTGGCTGGGGGATTCTGGGAGTGGAAGTCCACCCCTCTTAAAGCATGTTGGCTGGGGGATTCTGGGAGTGGAAGTCCACCCCTCTTAAAGCATGTTGGCTGGGGGATTCTGGGAGTGGAACTCTACCCATCTTAAAGCATGCTGGCTGGGGGATTCTGGGAGTGGAAGTCCACCCCTCTTAAAGCAAGCTGGCTGGGGGATTCTGGGAGTGGAACTCTACCCATCTTAAAGCATGCTGGCTGGGGGATTCTGGGAGTGGAAATCCACCCCTCTTAAAGCATGTTGGCTGGGGGATTCTGGGAGTGGAAATCCACCCCTCTTAAAGCATGTTGGCTGGGGAATTCTGGGAGTGGAAGTCCACCCCTCTTAAATCATGGCTGGCTGGGGAATTCTGGGAGTGGAAGTCCACCCATCTTAAAGCATGTTGGCTGAGGAATTCTGGGAGTTGGAGTCCACCCATCTTAAAGCATGCTGGCTTGGGGAATTCTGGGAGTGGAAGTCCACCCCTCTTAAAGCATGTTGGCTGGGGGATTCTGGGAGTGGAAATCCACCCCTCTTAAAGCATGTTGGCTGGGGGATTCTGGGAGTGGAAGTCCACCCCTCTTAAAGCATGTTGGCTGGGGGATTCTGGGAGTGGAAGTCCACCCCTCTTAAAGCATGTTGGCTGGGGAATTCTGGGAGTGGAAATCCACCCCTCTTAAATCATGGCTGGCTGGGGGATTCTGGGAGTGGAAATCCACCCCTCTTAAAGCATGTTGGCTGGGGGATTCTGGGAGTGGAAATCCACCCCTCTTAAAGCATGTTGGCTGGGGGATTCTGGGAGTGGAAGTCCACCCCTCTTAAAGCATGTTGGCTGGGGGATTCTGGGAGTGGAAGTCCACCCCTCTTAAAGCATGTTGGCTGGGGGATTCTGGGAGTGGAACTCTACCCATCTTAAAGCATGCTGGCTGGGGGATTCTGGGAGTGGAAGTCCACCCCTCTTAAAGCAAGCTGGCTGGGGGATTCTGGGAGTGGAACTCTACCCATCTTAAAGCATGTTGGCTGGGGGATTCTGGGAGTGGAAATCCACCCCTCTTAAATCATGGCTGGCTGGGGGATTCTGGGAGTGGAAATCCACCCCTCTTAAAGCATGTTGGCTGGGGGATTCTGGGAGTGGAAATCCACCCCTCTTAAAGCATGTTGGCTGGGGGATTCTGGGAGTGGAAATCCACCCCTCTTAAAGCAGGCTGGCTGGGGGATTCTGGGAGTGGAAATCCACCCCTCTTAAATCATGGCTGGCTGGGGAATTCTGGGAGTGGAAATCCACCCCTCTTAAAGCATGTTGGCTGGGGGATTCTGGGAGTGGAAGTCCACCCCTCTTAAAGCAAGCTGGCTGGGGGATTCTGGGAGTGGAACTCTACCCATCTTAAAGCATGTTGGCTGGGGGATTCTGGGAGTGGAAATCCACCCCTCTTAAATCATGGCTGGCTGGGGGATTCTGGGAGTGGAAATCCACCCCTCTTAAATCATGGCTGGCTGGGGGATTCTGGGAGTGGAAATCCACCCCTCTTAAAGCATGTTGGCTGGGGGATTCTGGGAGTGGAAATCCACCCCTCTTAAAGCAGGCTGGCTGGGGGATTCTGGGAGTGGAACTCTACCCCTCTTAAAGCATGTTGGCTGGGGAATTCTGGGAGTGGAAATCCACCCCTCTTAAATCATGGCTGGCTGGGGGATTCTGGGAGTGGAAGTCCACCCCTCTTAAAGCATGTTGGCTGGGGGATTCTGGGAGTGGAACTCTACCCATCTTAAAGCATGCTGGCTGGGGGATTCTGGGAGTGGAAGTCCACCCCTCTTAAAGCAAGCTGGCTGGGGGATTCTGGGAGTGGAACTCTACCCATCTTAAAGCATGTTGGCTGGGGGATTCTGGGAGTGGAAATCCACCCCTCTTAAATCATGGCTGGCTGGGGGATTCTGGGAGTGGAAATCCACCCCTCTTAAATCATGGCTGGCTGGGGGATTCTGGGAGTGGAAATCCACCCCTCTTAAAGCATGTTGGCTGGGGGATTCTGGGAGTGGAAATCCACCCCTCTTAAAGCAGGCTGGCTGGGGGATTCTGGGAGTGGAACTCTACCCCTCTTAAAGCATGTTGGCTGGGGAATTCTGGGAGTGGAAATCCACCCCTCTTAAATCATGGCTGGCTGGGGGATTCTGGGAGTGGAAATCCACCCCTCTTAAAGCATGTTGGCTGGGGGATTCTGGGAGTGGAAATCCACCCCTCTTAAAGCATGTTGGCTGGGGAATTCTGGGAGTGGAAGTCCACCCCTCTTAAATCATGGCTGGCTGGGGAATTCTGGGAGTGGAACTCCACCCATCTTAAAGCATGTTGGCTGAGGAATTCTGGGAGTTGGAGTCCACCCATCTTAAAGCATGCTGGCTTGGGGAATTCTGGGAGTGGAAGTCCACCCCTCTTAAAGCATGTTGGCTGGGGGATTCTGGGAGTGGAAATCCACCCCTCTTAAAGCATGTTGGCTGGGGGATTCTGGGAGTGGAAGTCCACCCCTCTTAAAGCAAGCTGGCTGGGGAATTCTGGGAGTGGAAGTCCACTCATCTTAAAGCATGTTGGCTGGGGAATTCTGGGAGTGGAAATCCACCCCTCTTAAATCATGGCTGGCTGGGGGATTCTGGGAGTGGAACTCTACCCATCTTAAAGCAAGCTGGCTGGGGGATTCTGGGAGTGGAAGTCCACCCCTCTTAAAGCATGTTGGCTGGGGAATTCTGGGAGTGGAAGTCCACCCATCTTAAATCATGGCTGACTGGGGGATTCTGGGAGTGGAACTCTACCCATCTTAAAGCAAGCTGGCTGGGGGATTCTGGGAGTGGAAGTCCACCCGTCTTAAAGCAAGCTGGCTGGGGAATTCTGGGAGTGGAAATCCACCCCTCTTAAATCATGGCTGGCTGGGGGATTCTGGGAGTGGAACTCTACCCATCTTAAAGCAAGCTGGCTGGGGGATTCTGGGAGTGGAAATCCACCCATCTTAAAGCAAGCTGGCTGGAGAATTCTGGGAATTGAAGTCCACCAACTTAAATCAAGCTGGCTGGGGAATTCTGGGAGTTGAGGTCCACCGATGTTAAAGGCCCAAGGTTGAGAAACACCGGTTTGAATTATTATTTTTTATTTATTTTTTTAATATGGAAACTTGCACACAAAGGTGATGATTGTTTGTTTCTCCATCCCAGGACAGACCGCTCTAAATATTGCCATCGAGAGACGTCAGTATGACATCACTCAGACCCTGATTGAGAAAGGCGCAGACGTCAACGCCCATGCCCAAGGCGTGTTCTTTAATCCCAAACGCAAACACGAAGGATTTTATTTTGGTAAGGGTCTGACCGAAACTGAGGTATGGTGGAAAGGAGCTGTTCAACAGGTCAAGCCAGGGTGGTCAGCAAACATATATGTTCCTCCCGTGTCCCAATTTGCGAGGTTTCGGGATAACAAGCTTGGTCTCGGGGTTAAGGCATCAACCCCTAGGAGACAGTGAGTTCTAGTCCCATTTTAGGCCTTAAAGCCGGCTGGGTGACTTTGGGCCAATCACCAGGAGATGGTGAGTTCTAGTCCTGCTTTAGGCATGAAAACCACCTGACTGACTTTGGATCAATTACCAGGAGTCTGTGAGTTCTAGTCCTGCCTTAGGCCTGAAAGCCAGCTGGGTGACTTTGGACCAATCACCAGGAGAAGGTGAGTTCTAGGCCTGCCTTAGGCATGAAAGCCAGCTGGGTGACTTTGAGCCAATCACCAGGAGAAGGTGAGTTCTAGGCCTGCCTTAGGCATGAAAACCACCTGGCTGACTTTGGATCAATCACCAGGAGACTGTGAGTTCTAGTCCTGCCTTAGGCCTGAAAGCCAGCTGGGTGACTTTGGACCAATCACCAGGAGAAGGTGAGTTCTAGTCCTGCCTTAGGCCTGAAAGCTGGCTGGATGACTTTGGCCCATCGCCAGGAGACTGGGAGTTCTAGTTCTGTCTTGGGCAAGAAAGCTGGTAGGGTGATTTTGGGCCAATCACCAGGAGACTGTGAGTTCTAGTCCCACCTTAGCCATGGAAGCCAGCTGGGTGACTTTGAACCAGTTCCTTTCTCTCAGCCCACCTCACAAGGTTGTTGTTGTGGGGAGGTGTGTTGGATATGTTTGCCGCCCCGAGTTATTTGTAAAAATAATAAAGGCAGGATACAAATAAATAATACAAATAATATAATAATATGGCAGCATCCGGACAGCAATGGCCAAGAATTGCATCCTTGACATGATGCGATCGCAATTTAGCCTAACAATTATCCTAAATTGTGATAGTCGTAAAACAGGTCAGCTTGTGCCTGATCTGACTTTAGGACTTCTTTTATTTTTTTGTGGGTCCTAACTCCAGTGTGTGATTTTAAAAGTCATGATGTTTTTGTTTTTTGGGGGGGGGGGTTTGTTTATATTTCATGTTTCTTAACCGCCCATCTCCCTTTCATGTTAAGATTTGTTTCCTGGGATGGGACTTGTACCGAATTCCAATCCGTATGTTCTCTTTCCTGAGTTTGTTCCACGCCTTGAGAAATGCATAATAATAACATCTCGAATAATAAATCAAGATTTAATCATGATAGTTTATGTTATTTATCAAGGCGGGGTTCAAATGAAACGTGACAAAGAAAATATTATTTTAGCAGTCGCTGATCAATCTTAGCTCTTCCGTCTCGTGAAATAAATGTGTGTTTGTTGGCTTCATAATTATTTTATTCCCTGCTTGACAGAAAAATAATTGTGTATTCGGATACCATGCAGAAGCTCCCAAACTTTTTCTTAAGGCAAATTACCACATCATTTTTCAAACTGCTCTCAAGCTATGGTCTGACAATGTCTGTTGCATTCCAAATTCTGTCTGTCTGTCTATTTATCTATTTATCTATTATCTCTCTCTCTCTCTATCCATTACTTTTTCTCTCTCTCCCTCTTTTTTCTTTTTTCTTTCTCTCTTTCTTTCTTGTATTCTCTTTCTATCTTATCTAACTCCTATCTAGAAATCCATCCACCCATCATTATCTCTGTCTCTCTGTCCTTCTGCTTCTCTGTCTATATATCCATCCTTACCTATCTCCTATTTGTCTCTGTCTATTTCTATCTCTCTTGTTCTTTCTCTGTATTTCTATCTATCTGCCTATCCATCTTTACCTCCCTCCATCCCCCCTTTCTCTCTGTGTGTGTGCCTATCTATCTATCTATCATCCATCCATCTATCTATTCATCCATCCATCCATCCATCTATCCATTTATCATCTATCTATCTATCCCTCTCTCTCTCTCTATCTATCCCTCTCTCTCTCTTATCATATCTATCTATCATCTATCTATCTATATCTATCATCTATCTATCTACCTATCATCCATCCATCTATCTATCCATCCATCCATCCATCCATCCATCTATCATCTATCATCTATCTATCATCTATCTATCTATCTTCTATCTATTCCATCCATCCATCCATCTATCTATCTATCTATCTATCTATCTATCTATCTATCTATCTATCTACCTACCTACCTACCTATCATCCATCCATCCATCCATCTATCTATCTATCTCTATCTATCTATCTATCTATCCCTATCTATCTCTCTATCTCTCTATCATATCTATCTATCATCTATCTATATCTATCATCTATCTATCATCTATCTATCATATCTATCATCTATCTATCTATCTATCTATCTATCTATCTATCTATCTATCTATCTATTTATCTTCTATCTATTCTATCCATCCATCTATCTATCTATCTATCTATCTATCTATCTATCTATCTATCTATCATCTATCTATCTATCTATCTATCTATCTATCTATCTATCTATCTATCTATCCCTATCTCTCTCTCTCTATCATCTCTCTATCACTATCATCTATCTATCTATCTATCTATCTATCTATCTATCTATCCCTATCTCTCTCTCTCTATCATCTCTCTATCACCTATCTATCATCTATCTATCTATCTATCTATCTATCTATCTATCTATCTATCATCTATCTATCTATCTATCTATCTATCTATCTATCCCTATCTCTCTCTCTCTATCATCTCTCTATCACCTATCTATCATCTATCATCTTTCATCTATCTATCGTATCTATCATCTATCTATCTATCTATCTATCTATCTATCTATCTATCTATCTATCTATCTATCTATTTATCTTCTATCTATTCTATCCATCCATCTATCTATCTATCCCATCTATCTATCTATCTATCTATCTATCTATCTATCTATCATCTATCTATCTATCTATCTATCTATCTATCTATCTATCTATCTATCTATCTATCTATCTATCCCTATCTCTCTCTCTCTATCATCTCTCTATCACCTATCTATCATCTATCTATCTATCTATCATCTATCTATCTATCTATCTATCTATCTATCTATCATCTATCTATCCCTATCTCTCTCTCTCTATCATATCTATCTATCACCTATCTATCATCTATCTATCTATCATCTACCTATCTATCTATCTATCTATCTATCTATCTATCTATCCCTATCTCTCTCTCTCTATCATCTCTCTATCACCTATCTATCTATCTATCTATCTATCTATCTATCTATCTATCTATCTATCTATCTATCTCATCTCTTAAAGAAACAATCCATTTTATTTTCATTAAACTTTGCTTGCATTCATGTTTCTTCGAACCTTGTGAGATCTTTGAAACTTTCCCGAGCTTTCATGAATGTGAAGAATTTTTTTTTTGAAAACTATAAAAAATAATAAAGCAAGACGGAATTAGCAAGACTTTAGCCCCTCAGCTAAAGGCCCCACATAGTAAAGACTGACTCTCAAACCCCACCACTTGGCACCCTCTTTGCAGGCGAGACCCCCCTGGCGTTAGCGGCCTGCACCAACCAGCCGGACATCGTCCATCTCTTGATGGAGAACAGCAAGACGGACATCAAGTCTCAGGATGCGCGAGGGAACAACATCCTCCACGCCTTGGTGACCGTGGCGGAAGACTTTAAGACCCAAAATGACTTTATCCGGCGGATGTACGACGCCATCCTCTTGAAAAGCAGAAGCCGGGATTTGGAGATGATGAAGAATAAAGATGGTTTAACGCCTCTGCAGCTAGCAGCCAAAACGGGGAAGTTAGAGGTAGGCCGGAGGTGGTATGCAGCCGGTTCGCCCCGGTTCGCCTGAACTGGTTGCGGAGATCGCAGGTGGGCCCACCCACTTGCCCCGGCGCTATGCCGTCCTATTTAGCCACACTTTTGAGGCCAGCGCCCGCACGGAAGGCACGTGCGCGAGCAAAGCACATGTGTGGAAAGTGTGTGTGTGTGTATGTGTGTGTGTGTGTGTGTGTGTGAAGTGAGTGCGCATACGGCAAACCAGGGGTAACAATATCAGAAACCCACCACTGAGGTAGACCTATCTATGGGTAATCCTTGACTTAAAACAGTTCATTTAGTGACCATTCAAAGTTACAACGGAACTGAAAAAAAGCGACTTATGGCCACTTTTCATAGTTACGACCTTTGCAGCACCCCCATGGTCATGTCGTCACAATTCAGGTGCTTGGCAACTGACTCATACTTATGACGGTTGCTGTGTCCCAATTTAATAAAATAAAAATAAATAAATCAATGGGATCCCCTTTTTTTGACCTTCTGACAAGAAAACTCAACGGGGAACCCAGATTCGCTTAACAACCAGGTTACTAACTTATCAACTGTAGCGACACACTTAGCAATTTATGACAATTTTTCACACTTATGACCATTGCAGCATCCCCAGGGTCACTAAATGAACTGTTGGGAACCGACGCACATTTATGACGGTTGCAGTGTCCCGGGGTCACGTGATCCCCTTTTGCGACCTTCTGACAAGTAAAGTCAAGGGGGAATCCAGATTCACTTAACAACCAGGTTACTAATTTAACAAATGCAATGATTCACTTAGCAACTGTGGTCAGAAAAGTCTTAAAATGGGGCAAAACTCTCTTAACAAATGTTTCACATAGCAACATAAATTTTGGGCTCCGCTACCTGTACATACAAGTAGTCCTCAACTTACAACTTTTTGAAGTTACATCATCAGTGAAAAAATGTGACTTACAACCAGTCCTCACACTTATGACGGTTGCAGCATCCCCGTGGTTGTGTGATCAGAATTCGGGCACTTGGCAACCGGTTCACACGATGGTGGCAGCATCCCGGGGTCATATGATCACCATTTGTGACCTTCCCAGGTGGCTGGATTCACTTAGCGACTGTGAGATTTTCTACACAACTGCAGTGATTTGCTTAAGAACCGTGGCAAAAAGGTCATAAAATCAGGGATGTAAATACATACTGGTTGCCAAGTGTCAAAATTTTGATCACATGACCACGGAGGTGCTATGTCAGTTGTAAGTGTGAGGACTGGTCATTTTTTTCCCATTCTGTTATAACTTTGAAATGTTGCTAAATGAATGGATCTAAGTTGAAGACTAACTCTGTTGCTTCTTGCCCAGGAAGAAGGAGATATATTAAAAAAATCAAGATGCTTTCCAGAGCTTTCCTTGCATCATCGTGACTCCATCTTGACTTTTTTGACCCTTTCCATGGGAACACCCTGCCCTTAACCTGAATCTCTGTTTTCTTCAGAGAAGGGGGATGAAATATTTGAGCAGGAATCCCCATTTTACTTTTCTCAGTGCCTACGTGTGACCCTAAAACTGTGTTTATTAACCTCAGCAACTTTAAGCTATATGGACTTCAACCCCCAGAATTCCCCAGCCAGCAAGGATTCTGCTTATGAAATTCTGATTTTGGGAGTGACTGACAACTCTGATCTGGATCTTGGAACTCTGGACTGGATTTTGACTATTAGTCTGCGTACAAGGCTAGCTGGGGAATTCTGGGAGTTTATTTATTCATTAATTTATTTATGTAATTTATATGCCGCCCTTCTCCTGAAGGACTCAGGGCGGCTTACAAAGAAAACATTCAACAATTTGAAAATTACATAAAAATTAAAATCCAATTAAAATTTATTAAAATTATTTCAATGTAAAATCCCCCAACGGATCAGCCCATTTGATAAAAGAGCCACATCTTGAGTTCACGGTGGAAGGAGAGGAGGTTGGCGGCTGTCCTAAACCCGTGTTCGGTCCCCGTCTCACACACGCACACAAACAGACAGCCGGGGGTTAAATAAACTGGCAGACAACCAATTCTTCCGATAAGAAGCTTGGCAGCAACTCAGTAGCTGCTTGCCAAGAACTTTACTCATAAACAAAATACACACAGTTCACGAATTGTCAAGTTCATAAAATAAATCCAAGGGAGATAATGTTGTTTCCAAAGATGCAATGTGACTCGATAGTAGTTAGTTTTGTCCGTCACAGAGTCTGAATGGCCACCTCACCCCCCTTTTATACCCTGTGGGGTGTGGTCCAGTGACTCAGCTTAATCTCTGGCACGCCTCTTCTTCTGTTGTGCGCGCTTATCTCTGCGACGCTGCCGAGGATCCATCCAAGACTCATTACCCTCATCACTGTCCACCTGTGGCTGCGTGGACGTGCTTGGCCCCGGCCCTATCTCTTGCCCTTCGGCGGGCACCAAAGGCATTGCCAGAGAGGAGGGTCCTGGAGAGGAAGGCCTTGCCAACTCCTCTCCTTCACTCTCGGAGTCCTCTCCTGCCGATGACACAGGCTCAGGTAACGGAGCCCCAACAGCCCGGTGGGCAAACCGTTCCATAAAATCAGAGTTTGGACTCTTAACTTGTTCTCTTCTTGACTTGGATCATTTTAGATTCTGAAGTACATTCTCAGCAGAGAAATCAAAGAGAAACCCATCCGCAGCCTTTCCAGGAAGTTCACCGATTGGGCTTATGGCCCCGTCCAGTCCTCCCTTTATGACCTCACAGAATTGGACACCACTTGTGAAAACTCACTACTGGATATCATTGTCTATAATACAAATATCGGGGTAAGTCCTTGGGTCAGAGTGTTTTCAAAGCAACTGTGCTTCCATTTTTCAAGGTCTCTCTCTCTCTCTCTGTCTCTCTCTCTTTCTTTCTCTCACTCTCTCTTTTTCTCTGTGTCTGTCTGTCTCTCTCTCTCACACACACACACTTTTTCTCTCTCTCTCTTTTCATTAGTGGCGATAAGGATTGATACAACACATTTCAAACTTTCTCATGCTCCTGTTTGGTACATTTTCTCGTTTGCGGGAGGTATTTAGGATTGAATTTCAGGCATACCGCTATTAAAAGCCTGAGCCAATGTTTCTCAACCTTAGCAAATTTCAAATGTGTGGACTTTTATTTTATTTTTTTATTTTATTTCCAATTTATATACCACCCTTCTCCCTGAGGACTCAGGGCGGTGTACAGCCAGAATTAAGAACATGAAATACAAATATTAAAAAACAATTAAAATATATATAAATTTGGCCCCAAAATTAAAAATCACAAAATCACTTCACCTCCCAGAATTGGGAAATTGCCACAGACAACGAATGCAAAATAGTTTGTTTGTTTTTTTAATTTCGAATTTATATACCGCACCTTCTCCCGAGGGACTCAGGGCGGTGCACAGCCAGCTAAAAACATACAATACAAACATTAAAAACAATTAAAAGGATATATATTAATTTGGCCCCAATTTAAAATGACAAACCAGTTAAAAATGTTTTTTAAAAAATGTTATGTTAAGCTTTAACATTTTATGTTAAGGTTGTCTGAAAGAGGCTTACAATAAATGGCTATATGTTTAATAGATGCACATGGAAGAATAATCAAAAACCAGTCCCAAGTTCTGAGATCCTGGTCAGGGTTCCTAGCCGGTCCAAATGTCAGCATTTCACAAATGGAAACCAGAGAAATATCACACAAGAGCTGGAGATCTGATCTTGTTTCCAGTAAAGGGAACATGGCTCAGGAACAAAGGGAACTATTAAATCAGGCTGCAGCCAGCTGCCTTTAATCAAGGGATTTACAGGTAGTCCTCGATTTACGACCAACATGGAGCTCAACATTTCCATTGCTCCCACGTGATCCACACAATTTTACAACCTTTTTGCCAGGGTTGTTAAGCGAATCCCTGCAGGTGTTAGGCCGTTAAGTGAATATGGCTCGCTGAGTGAGAAATTTGTTAAGTGAGTGTGCCCCATTTTACAACCTTTGTTGCCACTGTTGTTAAGTGAATCACTGCAGTTGTTAAGTTAGGAACAGGGTTGTTAAGCGAATCAGACTTCCCCATTGACTTTACTTGTCAGAAGGTCGCCAACGGGGAATCGCATAAACCCGGGACACTGCGACCGTCATAAATATGAGTCAGTTTCCGAGAGTCTGAATTTTGATCACGTGACCATGGGGGAATGCTGCAATGGCCATAAGTGTGAAAACAGCCATCAGTCACTTTTTCCAGGGCTGTTGCAACTTCTGACGGTCACTGAAAAAAACTGTTGTAAATTAAGGATTAATTGGTTTTATTTATTTATTTATTTTTATTTTGGTGGGTCTGTTTCCTGACCTGGTCTCCCTCCTTTCCACCCGTCCTGCCTCGTCGCTATCTTGAACTGAGTTTCCTGAATACAAATGCCAAAAGTTATATATATATTTATGCCGCGTTCATCCAATTCAATCGTGGCTTGACAGTTTTATTCCTGGGGAGAAGACCTCTTAAAAAAAAAATGTCGTGGCTTTTGGTCCAGCTGGTAGTGGGGACAGAATCAAAACAACCATACTTTCTTGCAGGTTTCCAAAAATCTTGGAAACGTCCCAGGAGCATCAGAAGGGAGCAGGGGTGAAATCCAGCAGGTTCTGACAGGTTCTGGAGAACCAGGAGCGGAAATTTTGAGTAGTTCAGAGAACCGGCAAATACCATCTCTAGCTGGCCCCAGAGTGGGGTGGGAATGGGGATTTTGCAATATCCTTCCCCTGGAGTGGGGAGGGAATGGGGATTTTGCAGTATCCTTCCCCCAGGAGTGGAATGGGAATGGGGATTTTGCAGTATCCTTTCCCCAGGAGTGGGGAGGGAATGGGGATTTTGCAGTATCCTTCCCCTGGAGTGGGGAGGGAATGGGAATTTTGCAGTATCCTTCCCCTGGAGTGGCAGGGAATGGGGATTTTGCAGTATCCTTCCCCCTGGAGTGGGGAGGGAATGGGGATTTTGCAGTATCCTTCCCCCAGGAGTGGGGTGGGAATGGGGATTTTGCAGTATCCTTCTCCCAGGAGTGGGGTGGGAATGGGGATTTTGCAGTATCCTTCCCCTGGAGAGGGAGGGAATGGGGATTTTGCAGTATCCTTCCCTTGGAGTGGGAGGGAATGGGGATTTTGCAGTATCCTTCCCCTGGAGTAGGCTAAATGAGTTTTGCCCTGTTTTACGACTTACCACATTTGTTCAGTGAATTGCTGCCGTCGTTAAATTAGTGTCACGGTTGTTAAGCAAGAATTGTGAAGTGCGTTTTGGCTCATTTTGCAACCTTTCTTGCCGTGGTGGTTAACGGAATATCACTGCACTTGTTCAGTTTGTAATACGGTTGTTAAGCGAATCGGGGTTTCCCCCTTGACTTCGCTCATCAGAAGGTCGCAAAAGGGGATCACGTAACCCGGGGACGCCACCACCGTCATAACTGTGAGTCAGTTGCCAAGCATCCGAATGTAAATCACGTGAGCATGGGGATGCTACGACGGTCGTAAGTGTGAAAAATGGTCCCAAGTCACCTTTTTCAGTGCCGTTGTAACTTTGAATGGCCACTAAATGAACTATTGTACAGCCATGGCCAAAATTGTGGAAGCCTTTTGGGAAAAGTTGTATTTTTGAGGTTAACACCGACTAAAGAAACTGGTTAGTCAGAAGCGACCCAGCAATAAAACCCAGTTAATAGAAGCCATCCTTCAATCTCGGTTTCACATTAGAACAGCTGCAGAACTCAAAGACTTGGTTCACTCCATGGGAAGACGTTGTAAGGCTGTCATTCATGCTAAAGGTTACCCAACTAAGGATTAACTGACATGGGAATAATTTTTGTATATCTCGTTTTTTTTTCTATGGTGATAATTTTTGCAGATCCTCGTTTTTTCTACATGTTTCACTTTTCTTCTTTATACTGTAACTGCTATTCTAATAGCAAATCCTTCCTAAAAGCTATTGCATTACATTCTTGATTCAGTTATTTTTCCATTGACATATAATTTTATGGTACTACTCAAAAAAAGGGGGGTGTTATTAGCTAGTTTTAGAAAATACTTTTCCCAAAAGGTTTCCACAATTTTGGCCACTACTGTAAGCTGAGGACTAGCTGTATTGATGGATTAATTGAGCCTAGCTTAATTAACCTATTACCATGTTTCCCCAAAAATAAGACCCCGTCTTATATTTTTTTGAACCCCAAAATAAGCACTTGGCCTTATTTTCAGGGAGGTCTTATTATTTGGAGTATTGTACTATTGTCTGGACTATTGTAACACTCTCTACATGGGGTAGAGGTACACTCAGAGGCTCCAACTGGCGCAGAGTGCGGCCGCGCGGGTGGTTATGGGAGCGACGTGGAGTTCCCATGTAACACCTCTCCTGCGCGACCTGCACTGGCTCCCGGTGGTCTTCCGGGTGCGCTTCAAGGTTTTGGTTATCACCTTTAAAGCACTCCATGGCTTAGGGCCTGGTTATCTACGGGACCGCCTGCTACCACCAATAGCCTCCCACCGGCCAGTACGCTCCCATAGAGAGGGGCTCCTCCGGGTGCCGTCAGCCAAACAATGTCGACTGGCGGCCCCTAGGGGGAGAGCCTTCTCTGTGGGGGCACCTACGATCTGGAACGAGCTCCCCCCGGAGATACGGAGGATCTCGGATCTGTGCACCTTCCGTCGCGCGCTCAAGACTCTCTTATTTCATCAAGCTGGCCTGGCCTAAATCTTCTCCCCTTTTTAAATGTAAATTTTAATTTGTTTTTAAATTATTGGGTATTTTAAATTTGTTTCAGCCAAATTATTTAATTCGTTTTTAATTCTATTTTAAATTTTTGTATTTATGTGTTTTATTCTGTGGCTGTTCACCGCCCTGAGTCCTTCGGGAGAAAGGCAGTATATAAATCCAATAAAATAAATAAGTAATTAAAATTATTTTGGGGCGCATGGAGGAAACCGGAGGAAATGGCGGGGATCAGCGGCTGCTCATGTGTTTAACGGGGAGGGCTTATTTTCAGGGGATGTCTTATTTTAGGGGAAACAGGGTATTTTGCTTGGATTAACCTGAAGAGATGCTCTTTCTCTTCCTTTTAATCTGGTTTTTTTGTTTTCCCCCACTAAAGCAGAAACGTCACGAAATGCTGGCTCTGGAACCGCTTCATTCCTTACTCCGGATGAAGTGGAAAAGATTCGCACGACACGTCTTCTTCCTTTCCTGTTGCCTCTACTTCGTCTACAACCTCATTTTGACGTTGATCTCCTACTACAGGCCTCACACGAAGCAGGTAGGCCTTCCATCCTTTTTATTCTGGGTAGGCTGGATCTAGAGGTGGGTTTCATATAAGTCTACCAACGGTTCACCGCGCACCGAAAATGCTTAGAAAACGTGGTTAAATAGGATGGCATAGCACTGGGGCAGGTAGGCAGGCCCTGTTCTGCCCCAGCTACGGACCCCAAAGAACGCAGCACACACGAAGTCCATACAAACCTTAATTTACTAATTAAAGACTACTAATGAGCTTTCTTAGTAGTTTTGTTCGAACACAAGTACAATAAATCAGTCTGTCAGCGTTTCAACGCTGGCATAGAGAGAGAGCAGAGGAGAGCGAGAGATAAACTCTGAAACTTTTGCCTGCCAAATCCCTTTGAAGCCCGGTTGTCGTGGAAATGAGGGGAGGGGGCACATTCCTGGGAAATGACGAGGAAAAGAAGTCTGAAGAATGACTTGGAAGACAGCCAATGAGAAGCAGAGATTTGGGGATCGGAAAGGGAGGGATTGGGAGGCAAAAGGTCAGTCTTGTCCACGCGGAGTCATGATCCGGTGGCTGAGCTCAATTAAAGAAAGATTTCCTTAAAGATTGGCAGTTTGGAAATTCATTTAATTTTGAGATAGCACCGCAGTCTGACACAGTCTTTTCTAAACAAGGGCTGTTAATTTAACTTCGTTAACAGCCGACAAGAATTGAAAGAATAATAACTCAGTTCTGAGGCACAGTCTTTCAGATAACCATAAACTTACTGTGGTTGGCAGAATGCCCAGAAGCAATTTGCAGGAAAACTGATAAGAGAGAAACAAGAGCCGAATCAAACGTTTCCTGAAATCAAGACGCGGAAGAATATGAACGAAGTTGTTCCCTGCAAATTGCTTCAGTGAGCGTTCCTCCTTAAATAGGCTAAGGGAGTGGGCAATTAGCCCCAAGCCTTACTCTCGAGGAGACCTCCTCCTGAGGAGCCACTCCTGCCTTTTGGCAGCTCTGCGCGCCCGTGCATCGAGAAGAGGCTCCTCCTCTTCTTCCTCTTCACCCATGGAAGCTTCTGGAGGTTCTGAAGGCCCTGGCTGAATCTCCGCCTCTGGCACTACATCTTCTCCAGCCTCTTCATTGTCCGAATCGGGTGCCAGCTGCACAGACTGCTGGCGCAGCACCACACCAGCCTCCTCGCTGTCGGAATCAGCTACTAACTGCACAGGCCGCTGACGGGCCACAACAGGCCCATCCGCAGGTTGCCACTATCGTTTCGCTAGAACCGGACCAAACCGGTTCAATACCACCACTGAATCAATCCCCTTCTGGGACATCTTTCATAACTCTCTTTTATAGGTAGTCCTTAAGAACTTACGGCAGAATTCCCATGGCTAAGCGAGGTGGTTGTTGAGTGACTTGCGCCTGCTTTGACGACCTCTTGTCTGGCATGGTTGCTGAGTGAATGGCTGCCGTTGTTAAGTGAATCACGGCAGGGGTGAAATGCAACGGGTTTGGGCTGGTTTGCCCGAACCGGTAGTAAAAAATGAAAAAAAAAAGTTTCGACGATCGCGCATCACACAGCTGATCGTCGGAACTTTTTTTTTACGTTTTAGGCATTTTTTTTACTACCGGTTTGGGCAAATAGGTAGTAAAAAATGCTTTAAATAAGTAAAAAAAAGACTCCAACGATCACAGCTGTGCCGCACGATCTCCAGAGCCTTTTAAAAACTTTTTTAAAGCATTTTTTACTACCTATTCGCCCAAACCGGTAGTAAAAAAATGCTTTTAAAAAGTTTTTTAAAAGGTTCCCGCGCATGCCACAGCTGATCACCCCCCCCGCACTGTTCTACATACCTTCCAAAGCCTCCTTTTGGTGTGCACTGCGCATGTGTGCGCGCAGCTCACATTTGGCGCATGGCGCACATGCGCAGCCAGCGAACCGGTAGTAAACTGGTTCAGATTACACCACTGAATCACGGGGTTGTTAAGCGAATCCTGATTCCTCCACTGACTTTGCTGGTCGGAAGCCAGGTGGGAAAGCTGCAAATGGCAAATCACGTAATCCCGGGATGCGGCAAGGATTATAAATACAGGTAGTCAGAATCAGAATAGAACTGGAAGGGACCTTGGAGGTCTTCTAGTCCAACCCCCTGCTCAAGCAGGAGACTCTATATCATTTCAGAGAAGTGATTGTCCAGTCTCTTCTTAAAAACCTCCATTGATATGAAGCATCCACAACTTCTGGTGGCAGTCTGTTCCACTGGTTAATTGTGCTCGCTGTTAGGAAGTTTCTCCTTAGTTCCAGGTTGCTTCTCTCCTTGATGAGTTTCCATCCGTTGTGTCTTGTTCTTCCTTCAGGTGCTTTGGAGAATAGGTTGACCCCCTCCTCTTCTTTGGGGCAGTCCCTCAAATATTGGAATGCTGCTATTAATGTGAATAAAGTAGGAATCATACAGGGTCAGTTACATGAACACTAAAGGACCCTCTCTATTCACATTATTATACGGGAGAAAAGTGCTTGTTTGGAGATTATATTAAAAATCAGCTAAATCCCATTATTGGTAATATATCTTCTGATGAGGCCTAGCTGTCACGGAAGGACAGCCATATGGAAAACATCTGAGTGGCCTCACTGTCAAAGACACAAGGACATGTAGGTTACAAAGAGTTACTTATTACCTAAGGACGGCAATAAATCTCCCGTATTAGTAATTACAGAACTAAGGAAGGTTGTCTAGCTAAAGATAATCTTATAAACTAGACAATAATGGGTTAGTAATTAGGAAGTGTCAATTATCATATAACAAGTGTATGTTAACCATAGATGGAAAAATGCATGTGCTCACCAAACCCTTTGTCTTGGAAATATATATAAGCAGTTGTATCGGAGCTTTCCGGGGTTCAGAATTTCAGGTACAAATCTGGCTCTGAACCTGCGCAATAAACTGTATCTAGCTGACCCAGGAATGTTTTTCAGTCTTTCATTCCATAACACTATCATGTCCCCCCCCCCCGAGTCCTTACTTTCTTTAGACTAGCCCAGAGGTCTGCAATCTTAAACACTCAAAGAGCCATTTGGACCCGTTTCCCACAGAAAAGAAAACACCGGGAGCCACAAAACTCTTCCCGTGCCTGACTGTTTCTTGAGCAGCCACAAAACTAGCAAATTTTGTTTGGAATTAAATGTTCTGTTTTCTTCTGAAACTTTTCTTTTCTTGGATTTCTCTATGGTTGGCCTACCGGCGGTTGAAAAGCTCAATAAATTGCGTGCCAGGCGGGTGTCGCAGATTGGCGGTTGTGACGCATATTTTGAGCGACAGGGAGCCGCAGCAGAGGGGTGAAAGAGCCACATGCGGCTCCAGAGCCGCAGGTTGCTGACCCCTGGATTAGCCAAACCCAAATCCTGCAACCGTTCTTCGTATGTTTTAGTCTCCAGGCCTTTAATCATCCTCTTCTCTGCACTTTTTCCAAAGTCTCAACATCTTTTTTTTTTATAATGTGGGGACCAAAACTGGATGCAAATATTCCAGGTGTGGCCTTACTAAGACTTTACAAAGCGGTGCTAATACTTCACCTGATTTTGATTCTATGCCTCTGTTTACACAACCAAAGTCTGTATTAGCTTTTTGGCTTACGCCCACAATGGAGCCCAACATTTCTGTTGCTAAGAGAGAAATTTGTTAAGCGAGGTTTGCCCCAGTTTACAACTTTTCTTGCCACGGTTGTTAAGTGAATCACTGCGGTCGTTCAGTTAGCAATACGGTTGTGAAGTGAATCTGGCTTGCCCATTGGACTTGGCTTGTTAGAAGGTCGCAAAAGGGGATCACGTAACTCGGGGACTATGCAACACGTCATAAATGTGAGTCAGTTGTCAAGCATCCGAATGTAAGTCACGTGACCGTGGGGATCCTGCAACGGTCGTAAGGGTGAAAAACGGTCCTAAGTCGCTTTTTTCAGTGCTGTTTCGAGCGGTCACTAAGTTAACCGTCGTACGTCGAGGACTGCCTCTCCATGGTGGTTGCCCAGTGCCCAAATTTGGATCGCGTGATGGTGTCGGTGCTGGAATGGCCATAAGTGCAAGGGCCTATCATAAGCCACTATTTTCAGCGTTGTCGTAACTTTGGACTGTCACTAAATGAATGGTTATAAGATGAGGACTACTTCTATTCTTATTTTTTTTCTTTTTTCCCCCCGGTCTCTAGCCTCCACCATACCCTCTGGCACTGATCGGGGACCTGAATTGGTTGCAGTTGGCAGGACAAGCCATGGTTATTTTGGGAGCCGTGTTTATTGCTATTAAAGAGGTAAGCGCTGATAGGAATATTCCTCATGAATGAAAGTGAATCTACGTGTCCCAGAATAATGTTGCAAGATCCAATCTGGGTCAGTCATCGGGACCGAAAGTTTTATCTTCCGAGATTTAGGACTCGTGCTGGAGCCCATCCCAGAGGTGGGGTTCAAAAATTTTAGCTGGGTGAGCGTGGCCATGGTGGGCGTGGCCTAGTCCGCCTCCTGCACCACAACGGCGCGAGGCGTTTTTGCCCTCCCTGGGCTCCGGAGGTTTTCCTTGAGCCTCCGGGAGGGCGAAAACGACCTCCCCAGGCACCAGAGGCCCTCTGGAGGCAGGAAACGGGCCCGTTTCCGGCCTTCCCGAACTTCCAGTAGGCCCATTTTTCACCCTCCCTGAGCCTCTGCGCGCGCCCTGCACTTACCTGCATCGAAAGCGGGCTGTGTGGGGACTCCTGGGAGGGGCGGGATGGGGTCGACGGGGCCAGCCAGGAGTGGGATTTGTGGGTTCTGCGAACTGCACAGAAGTTTAGCTAGAGTTTCTCCCGAGTTTCTGCGAACTCCCAGCAGCCCAACCCTGCACCCATCCTCAGGGAATTTCTCTTTAGTAGCATGTGTGTGGTTCTGTGTGTGTGGTATTGATAGTGGCTGTTGTAAGTGGGTTTTTAGATGTTGATTGGGGAGTGTGTTGATGGCTTTTGTGAGCCACCCTGAGTCTTCGGAGAGGGGCGGCATATAAATTGAATTAAATTGAATATGAAATTGAATTGAATTTTAAGTCATTATCTGTCACTTCCTTGTGCTGCCCAGCCTTTGCCTTGTAAGTACTTGCTAGGCTGATGGTAAATCAGCACTCCTATTGACCGACAAAGGGCTTATTTCCCAGGCTTCAATCACTTCTCTGGCTGTTTTTGTACCTGCTCGTCCAACAATCTTAATACAGCTGCAAAATTGAATGCCTGTCCTTGTTCACATTGCAGTGTGAGGCTACCGATGAGTTCTTGCAATCTGTTGGTTAGCTTCCTCCCCATCTGCCCTGCATAGTCCCAGGGGCACTCCATGCAGGGGATCCAGTAGATTACATTGGAAGTATCTCCCACCTCCAAAACAATCTTTACCGGAACTTCCGGTGTGACGTCGCGGCGAGACAGTCAGGGAAATAGCGGGCTCTGATGAGTCCCGTGAAAACCCCGGCTGCCGAACCGCCGCCGATGGGTCTTCGGGCCCAACCCGTCTTGCAGGGACGGGGGGAGAAGAGGGGTGCCTCGGACGACCGAGAGGAACATGCAAGTTCCTTAGAGGTTGGAGGGAACCCTCTGTGAGTCGGCGGCGGGGGGCGGCAGCCACGGCGGCTGCCACAAAGCTGGGACAACCGGGCAAGAAAAGTGCTGGAGGAAAGCGGAGAAAGACGGAGCTCTTTGAAGCCGGGTGAGTGACAACAGCCCAGGCTTTGCAACAACGTTTGGAGCATTATTAATAATTAGAAGACCCCTAGCCTAAAACAGCGGCTATGTAACAAAGGGGCTTTGGAAAAAATTTTAAAACTACAACTTTAAAGAGACAAAGACCCGAGTAACATTTAATTTTGGAACAGAACTAAGAGAACTAATCTGAAGATATGGTTAAAAGACTAAACACTTTAAAAATTTGAATTGGATTTTAAAAAGGAAAAAGAAGACTTGATAATTTTTGTTTTTTTAATTAAACAAAATGATCTTTACCCTGCATAATTTGACCTTCGTATGTAGCCTCTGGGCGGTGTGCGATGCCCACTTGCAGGTCTCGGAAGTTGCGTTTTCCGAAATGTTTTTGATGGATGCCAGGGTGTGCCATGTGGTTAGTGTTGGAAGATGAGCTCCAGCACAAATCCCAAAGCTCGTTGTTAAGAGAGTTTTTCCCTATTTTGCAACCTTTCTTGCCACAGTTGTTAAGTGAATCACTATAGTTGCTCCTCCTCCTCTTCACAAACCGCCCCTCCCTTCAAACACTGATGATGTTACCTAGTCGGGTACCCCACGGTTCTCTTCCTCTTTCTGCTGCTCCTCTTTTTCTTCCTCCTCTTTCTCTTCCTCCTCCTCCTCCTCCTTTCTCCCCTCCCATCTAGCACTGATGATGTTACCTAGTTGGTTAATAAAATGTTTGCAAGAAAATCCCAAAGCTCAGAGAACACCAAGGACCCCACAGTCCTCTGCCTCTTCCTGCTTCTCCTCTTTCTCTTCCACCTCTTTCTTTTCCTCCTCTTCCTCCTCTAAACGGATGGTTGTAAGTCGAGGACGACCTGCAGAACGGGCTGGCGTGCATTTTAACGTGCCTTACTGACTCTGTTGTGTGTCTTTCCGCCTGCAGAGTGTAGCCATTTTCTTGCTACGGCCGTCCGACCTGCAGACGATTCTGTCCGACGCCTGGTTCCATTTCGCCTTGTAAGTGACGCGATTGGCCTTTGCTTTGCTCTCCTAGCGATTTATGACGGTAATGTTCGGGCTCCACTATGGTCGTAAGTCAAGGACTACCTGTGAGTGTGTTTCCCTTGGGGATGTTCCATTTGTCTCCAAGCCCAGAAACCAAGCTAGGTTTGCAAGATTGCAGAAATTTTCCTTTTAAACCAGCGTTTTACAATCTTGGGACAGTTTAAGATGGGTGGACTACAACTCCCAGAATTCCTCAGCCAGCACAGCTGGCTGGGGAATTCTGGAAGTTGTAGTCTACCCATCTTAAACTGGCTGAGATTGAAAAAAAAACACTATTTTACACAGATTTGCATCCTGAGGAAACTTTCCTTCTGCCTAAATTATTGTTAAATTTAATCAAATCAGACTTCCTTCTGGATTTGGTCACTAATCCATCAAGGTTTCTTGCGTTCAGAAGGCCCAGGATTTAATCAGGGAAAGGCATTGCCCTGTCGGTTTTATTTAGCAGAGATAGATCCTCTAAGGAATGGATCTTTAAAAGGAATAATTGTTTATTCACCCTTATCTTACTGTTTAAAGCATTTTTTTTAACTGCTGAAATCCCTATCAGTATCCTTGTTATCTGTTCTTCTATATCCTTTTTATATTCTTTGACTGTATTCGTTTACCGTTTGTATCTTTTCTTGCTTCTGTTCTTGATTTTAATTGGGCTAACAGTTACAGTTCAATAGAGACAGGTCTTGATCTATCTATCTATCTATCTATCTATCTATCTATCTATCTATCTATCTATCTATATCTGTCTTTTATCCATATCTATCCCTTTATCTCTCTCTCTATCATCATCATCTCTCTCTCTCTATCATCTATCATCTCTAGCTCTATCTATCTTTTTCGATAGCTATATCTATTTATCTATCTACCATCTATCATCCATCCATCCATCCATCATCTATCTATCTATCTACTATCTATCCATCCTCTATCTATCTATATCAATCCATCAACTATCTATCTGTCTGTCTGTCTGTCTGTCTGTCTCTTATCTATATCTATCCCTTTATATCTCTCTCTCTATCATCATCTCTCTCTATCATATATCATCTCTAGCTCTATCTATCTTTCTCTATAGCTATATCTATCTATCTATCTATATCTATCTCTTATCTATATCTATCTCTTTATCTCTCTCTCTCTATCATCATCTCTCTCTCTATCATCATCATCATCTCTCTATCATCTATCATCTCTAGCTCTGTCTTTCTCTATAGCTCTATCATCTATCTATCTATCTATCTATCATCTATCCATCTATCTATCTATCTATCTATCTATCTATCTATCTATCTATCTATCATCTATCCATCTATCATATCTATCTATCTATCTATCCATCTATCTATCTATCTATCTATCTATCTATCTATATCATCTATCTCTTTCTCTCTATCGCCATCATCTCTCTCTATTATCTAACATCTATCATCTCTAACTCTTATCTATCTTTCTCTATAGCTCTATCTATCATCTATCTATCTATCTATCTATCTATCTATCTATCTATCTACCTACCTACCTACCAACCTATCTATCATCTTTCTTTCTTTCTATCATTCTAGCTATCTGATTTTATATCTAGCTAACCATCCACAATATAATGGAGGTGTTAATATTAAGTAATTTAGATCAAAACTATTATTATACAGTCAGTACTTTGGTGTGAGTTGCAGTGCTTCTTTTCTTAATGTTATATTTAACTTTGGATGAAAAACCCAAATAATTTTACCCTTGTAGTATTGGCATCCTAAATTGTCATTGATACTGATAGGATTTTCTCTTTTCTTTCTCTTAAGTATTAACAATTGAAGCCACCTAAATGATAGGAGTTTATCATCTTTAACCATTTCATATAAACACCAGCCTATTGAAACAATATGATATTAAATGTTTATAGCAATCTAATCAGAAAGAAGAATAACATTTAAAAAAAAATAATGTTTTTGTGGTCCTTCCCAGTTTCATTCAAGCGGTGCTGGTGATTGTCTCGGTCTTCCTCTACGTTTTCTCCTACAAAGGGCACCTGCCCTGCCTCGTCCTGGCCATGTCCTTAGGCTGGGCCAACATGCTGTATTTCACGCGGGGGTTGCAATCCATGGGCATCTACAGCGTCATGATTCAACAGGTAAGGCAGCCTTTGCAAGCCCTGTTGGATAGGCTTTGGGCCTCTCAGGCCAGGCCCAACAATTCTGTTCTCTTAAGTGGGAGGCTGCACACAGTCAATTCTTCTATAGTCTGTCTGTCTCTCTCTCTGTCTCTCTGTGTCTCTTTCTCTCTACCTTCATCTCTCTCTCTCTCTCTCTCCCTCTTCCTCTCTCTCTCTCTATATATACATTTTCTTTCTATCTATCATCTATCTATCCATCCATCTATCAGCTATCTGTCTGTCTGTCTGTCCATCTATCCATTTATCAGCTATCTATCTATTATCTATTTATCCATTTATCAGCTATCTATCTATTATCTATTATCTATTTATCCATTTATCAGCTATCTATCTATTATCTATTTATCCATTTATCAGCTATCAATCTAATGGTAGGTATGTCTCTAGGTATCCATTTATCAGCTATTTATGTATGTATGTATGTATGTATGTATGTATGTATGTATGTATGTATGTTTCTATCTATCGTATCTATCTACCTACCTACCTATCTACCTACTCTATCTATCTATCTGCTATCCATATCTATCTATCTATCTATCTATCTATCTATCTATCTATCTATCTATCTATCTATTTATCTATCTATTATCCATATCTATCATATCTATCTGCCTACTTACCTACCTACGTGCCTTCTATCTATCTATCTATCTATCTATCTATCTATCTATCTATCTATCTATCTATCTATCTATCTATCATCCATATCTACCTACCTACCTACCTACCTACCTACCTACCTACCTACCTACCATGTTTCCCTGAAAATAAGACTCTGTCTCATATTTTTTTGAACCCTGCAATAAGCGCTTGGTCTTATTTTGGGGGAGGTCTTATTATTTTGTGGCACGTGGAGCAAGATGGGGCTCCTCTTGCTGTCTTACCTGATTTTCAGCTCTGCGTTTAAATATTTTCGAGGGGAGGGCTTATTTTAGCACATGCACTCAAAATCCCGATTGGGCTTATTATCAGGGGATGTCTTATTTTCGGGGAAAAAGGGTATCTATCTATCATGTATGTATGTACGTATGTATGTGTCCGTCTGTCTGTCTGTCTGTCTTTCTATCTATCTATCTATCTATCTATCTATCTATCTATCTATCATCTATCTATCTATCTATCTATCTATCATCTATCTATCTATCTATCTATCTATCTATCTATCTTATCTATATCTATCTTTATCTGATTTCATATCTATTAACAATCCACAATATAAGTTAGTCACCTGGTGACGGTACCTGATTCTCCAGCCAGCATGCTTTGAGATGACTGAACTTCAACTCCCAGGATTCTCCAGCCACCATGCTTTAAGATGTTCCAGCTGGGGAAATTCTGGGAGTAGAAGTCCACCCATCTTCCAAGTGCCCAAGTTTTAGAAACACTGCATTAAGGTGAGAAGATCCCCCTCATTTCCTACAAACTTGTCCATTTTTAAAAATGGTCTAAAGTGGATGCCAATTGCCACCTCTGGAAACCAAATTTTCCATGTAAATACATCCAGAAGTAGTAGAGCAGTGCCATTTGTTTTCCTGGGCTTTAAATTCACCATGAATGCTTTTTCTCTTTTGCCTTGTAGGTCATTTTGCATGACGTGATCAAGTTTATTGCCGTCTATCTGGTGTTTTTGTTTGGATTCGGCGTAGGTAAACAGAATTTGATGCTTTTTATTCGCGGGGGCATCCGTGGACTGCGGGGGAGTGGGGGTTTTCAAAGAAGGCACAACTGGTGTTGCCAGCTGTGCCATCCAAGCCCTGCCACTTTTTTTAAAAAAAGTTTTTTATTTTAAACACATTAAAACAAACACAATACAGACAACACATATATACATATCATTTTTCCGTTGTTAACAGCTCGTTTAAGGTGATCCTTTCTTATTGTTTACATATATTCTAACTTTCTTAATCTACTTAGATAATCTAATTTTGGATCGAAACCATCCTCTGCTACCATTGTCGAAGCTGATTCACGCTTCGACACTTTGTGTCGACTTCTCTTTACTTTGATCTTCAACACATTCAAGCCATGTTATCACAAAAATAAACAATATTATTATTTCAGTTCCCCCTTTTTTCCCTTTATTCCTTTTTTTCATTTTTCCTTTTCTTGCACCAGTCATACCATCTATACCATACTCTATAGTAATCTGAGTCCTCTCCTTCCTTAAGTTCCTTTGTAAGCTTGTCCATCTCTGCGCATTCGAGGATTTTTTTAATTAAATCCTCTTCTGTTGGTGGACAGTCCTTCTTCCAGTTTTGCGCGTATATTATATGGGCTGCTGTTATTATATGTAATGTTAAATATTGAATTTCTTTTGTATAGTTTTCTGTTGGAATCCCTAATAGGAATTGCTCTGGCTCTCCCTTTACTGGTTTCTGTATTATATCCTCTAATAGTTTTTTAACTTCAGTCCAAAATTGTTTTGCCACCGGACACGTCCACCAGAGGTGATAGTATGTTCCATAATTATTCTTGCACTTCCAACATTTCGGTGAATTACCAGGGAACATCTTTGCTATTCTAGCTGGCGGAAGATGCCATCTATGAAACATTTTCATCAGATTTTCCTTGTATGCCCTTGATACTGTCAATTTCATATTCATTTTCCACATCCTTTCCCACTTCGCTAATTCTATCTTGCCACTTTTTATGGGCATCATTACATAAAGAAGGCTTGGCTTGCTCTGTTGCGGCCTCCATTTTGCCTTTTTCTGACACACTCCCTGGGAATACCTGTAATTGTTGTTGTTGTTTTTTACAGATGTTTCATTACCTGACTAGCTAACGGCATCAGTGCTGGAAGGGAGTGGGGTTTGTAGAGAGGAGGAGGAGGAGGGCGACTGTGGGGTCCTTGGTGCTCTCTGAGCTTGGTGGTTTTCCTGTAGACATTTCACAACCCAACTAAGGAACACCATCAGTGCTAGAAGGGAGTGATGTTGGCTCTCTGTTTATATACAACTGGCTTGACTTATCAGTGCTGGTGGAAGTGTTTTTTTGGGGAATTCCTTGATTAGGCTGTTGTTTACTGTTTGATTGTTTGTCTCCCTATGCACGGTCACTCATGCCCTCATCATCTCCCGCCTGGACTATTGTAACGCTCTCTACATGGGGCTCCCCTTGAGGAGCACCCGGAGGCTCCAACTGGCGCAGAGTGCGGCCGCGCGGGTGGTAATGGGAGCGACATGGCGTTCCCATGTGACCCCCCTCCTGCGCGAGCTGCACTGGCTCCCGGTGGCCTTCCGGGTGCGCTTCAAGGTTTTGGTTACCACCTTTAGAGCGCTCCATGACTTAGGACCTGGTTATCTACGGGACTGCCTACTACCACCAATAGCCTCCCACGGCCGGTACGCTCTCATAGAGAGGGGCTCCTCCGGGTGCCATCGGCCAAACAATGTCAACTGGCGGCCCCAAGGGGAGAGCCTTCTCTGTGGGGGCACCTACAATCTGGAACGAGCTCCCCCCAGAGATACGGAGGATCCCGGATCTGCGCACATTTCGTCGTGCTCTCAAAACATTTTTATTTCAGCAGGCTGGCCTTGCCTAATTTTTCCCTCTTTTTTAATTATGCAAATTTTAAATTGGTTTTTAAAATGATTGGAGTGTTTTAATCTGTCCGGGCCAAAATTGTTTAATTCGATTTTACTTTGTTTTTAAATTTTGTATCTATGTATTTTTACTATGTATACTATACTATATAGTATACTATTTGTACTATGTATTTTTAAAATATTGATCCGAACTGCTTCATGGTTAATTTAGTGTTAATCTCTGCTTATATGGAGGTTAATTGCTGCCAAGGAAGTGTTTTGGACTTTTAGGTAAACAATAATGATGTTTATTGTAAACCAAACCCCCCCCCCCTCAAGGAAGTACCATCTCAGACAAATAAACTAACAGAAAACAACAGCTTAATTGAGAAAGCACCAAGAACACACTTACAGGGCAACCAGACAGCAAACCCAGGGTGAAATGCTCCCGGTTCGGACCGAATCACCCGATCCGGTAGCGATGGTGGGGGGTGGTTCGGAGAACCAGTAGCAAAAATCCCTGCGCCCCCCCCCCATGCCTGGCTGAGCCGCGCAATCATCAGACGCTTTTTTTTTTTTTTTACTTTTAAAAGCATTTTTTCTACAACCTCTTCCGACGAAAAAATGCTTTTAAAAGTTAAAAAAAAAAACCCCTCTGATGATCGCGCGGCTCAGCTGGGATCGTCAGAGGCTTTTCAAAGCATTTATTTCTGCAACCTCTTGGCCGAAGAGGTGGTTAAAAAAAATGCTTTGAAAAGTCTCTGACGATCCCAGCTGAGTGGCCTGATCGGCAGAGGCTTTTCAAAGCATTAGAAAAAATGCTTTGAAAAGTTAAAAAAAAAAAAGGTTGGCCACGCCCACCCAGTCACATTACCTCTCCCACCAAGCCACGCCCACAGAACCGGTAGTAACAATTTTACATTTCACCCCTGAGCAAACCCCACCCCCTTCTGCTACTGATGATGTTCCCTAGTTGGGTTATAAAACGTCTGCAAGAAAGCAACCAACCTCGGAGAGCATCAAAGACTCCACAATCATTCTCCTCCTCCTCCTCCTCCTCCTCCTCCTCTCCACAAACCCCTCTTCCTTCTAGCACTGATGATGTTGCCTAGTTGGGTCATGAAATGTCTGCAAGAAAACACCCAAGCTCAGAGATCACCAAGGACTTCACAGTCGCCCTCCTCTTCCTCCTCCTCCCTCTTGCAAACCCCACTCCCTTCTGGCACTGATTATGTTCCCTACTTGGGTCATGAAATCTCTGCAAGAAAACCACCAACCTTGGAGAGCATCAAAGACTCCCTGATCCTCCTCCTCTTCCTCTCCACAACCCCCCCCCTGCCTTCTAACACTGATGACGTTCCCTAGCTGGATCTTGAAACGTCTTCAAGAAAACAACCCAAGCTTCCTCCTCCTCCTCCCCTTTCTTCCCCCTCCTCCTCTTTCTCTTTCTCCTCCTCCCCATAATCCCCACTCCCTTCTAACACTGGTGACGTTCCCTAGTTGGGTCACGAAACGTCTGAAAGAAAAACAACTCGGCTCAGAGACACCAAGGACCCCACAGTCCCCATCCCTGAGCTACGAATATTCTCTTCTAAAAAGTCAAAACACTTACCCCCCCCCCCAAATTGCACGGTTCATGTTTTGGACTCCTTCCTGCGGACACCCAATTTCAGACTCTTAATAACCAGGGGTGGGATTGAAAAATTTTAGCAACCGGTTCTCTGCCCTGCTGTTGGTTGGGCATGGCCATGGGGGCGTGGCCTAGTCAGCTTCCTGCACCATGGCAGGGTGGGGTGGGGCGTTTTCGCCTTCCCCAGGCTCCAGAGGTTTTTCTCGAGCCTCCGGGAGGGCAAAAACGGCCTCCCCTGGGCTCCGGAGGCTGAAAACTGGCCCGTTGTCTGGCCTACTGGAAGTACTTCTGGTACTTCCGGTAGGCCCGTTTTTCGCCCTCCCGGAGCCTCCATGCATGCCCTGGCATCTAAAATGCGCCACGTGGAGACTCCTGGGAGGGGTGGGGTGGAGTGGGCAGGGTCAGCCAGTCCTTGCAACTACCGGTTCGGCGAACCGGATCAAAATTAACATCCGATTTGTTAGAACCGGCTGAATCCCGTCCCTGTTAATAACCCTCTTTGGGTGAGGGCTGAATCCTCAGAAAGCTCTTGTAACCTCAGAGTTTAATGAAAAAGACTCTAATCTCCTCCTCCTTCCCGTTCTCCGCTCAGCACTTGCGGCCTTGGTGGAATCGTGTCCCGAAGACAGCAAATGCAACGAGTACAGCGTCTTGGGAAGCATCGAGATCGATTTATTCATGCTGACCTTGGGCCTGGGCGAGCTGGACGTCCCGAAAAACGCCAAGTACCCCATCCTCTTCCTCCTGCTGCTCATCTCCTTCGTGATCCTGACTTTCGTCTTGCTCCTCAACATGCTGATCGCCTTGATGGGAGAGACGGTGGAAGACATTTCCAAAGAGAGCGAGCACATCTGGAGGCTGCAGGTTGGACTTGGGGGGTGGTTTCTGTGTGTGCGTCTCCGGGATTCCTTTGTGGAAAACGGGATTGAATCCAGATGTCGAGGGAGATTCCCTCGACATCTGGATTCAATCCCGTTTTGATTGTCCCAAATCCCGTCCTGGTTGTCCCAAAGGTGTCATTATCTTTTGTGTTTTGTCTGTTTTATTTTTCAGGATGTGGTTCTTTCTGCAGGGGGGGGGGGGATGCCTGTCAGCCTTGGAAGCCATATTAAGCTGGAAGCTTCAATGCTGCCACCTCCTCATGTGTGGGAAAGTAGGAGGGGGGATTTAGGAGAGGAGAGTTAGTAGACATAATAGCTGTCAGACTGCGATGCTATCTCAAAATTAAATGAATTTCCAAACTGCCAATCTTTAAGGAAATCTTTCTTTAATTGAGCACAGCCACCGGATCATGACTCCGCGCGGACAAGACTGACCTTTTGCCCCCCAATCCCTCCCTTTCCGATCCCCAAATCTCTGCTTCTCATTGGCTATCTTCCAAGTCATTCTTCAGACTTCTTGTCTCATCATTTCCCAGGAATGTCCCCCTCCCTCCTCATTTCCACGACAACCGGGCTTCAAAGGGATTTAGCAGGCAAAAGTTTCAGAGTTTATCTCTCTCTCTCCTCTGCTCTCTATGCCAGCGTCGAAACGCTGACAATAGCGTTCTTCCTATCGGTTAAGGTCAGGGTGAGCCAGCATCTGGAGGAGGAGTGGTCAGGGGCTGGCTTGAGGTGGAGCGGACGATGATTGGAGCATGTGACCGAAAGGGGAGAAAGGGGTTGGTTTGGGGAGCTTTTCAGATTCGGGATTTCCCAGATGTGCCAGTTTACCTATTGCTAGTAAAGAGAACTTTGGAAAATGCCTGCTTCAGTGCCTTTACCGGGAGTCGGGGGTTTTCTGGAACGCTGACACTTTTTTCAAGAGGCAACTGGACTTCCGTTGTTTTTCCTTGAAGAGGTTTCGCTTCTCATCCGAGAAGCTTCTTCGTGTTCTGACCGAATGGCGGAGGGATGGAAAGATTTTTTTTTTTTTGAATTTGATTTATATGCCGCCCTTCTCCAGAGTCTCAGGGCGGCTTACAATACATTAGGCAATAGCCTTCATACTTTTGTATATTTATACAAAGTCAGCTTATTGCCCCCACAATCCGGGTCCTCATTTCACCTACCTTAGAAAGGATGGAAGGCTGAGTCAACCTTGAGCCTGGTAAGATTCGAACCTGCAGTAATTGCAGGCAGCTGGTCTTAATAACAGGGTGCTCTAAACCACTGTACTACCAAGGCTCTTGGTAGTTGATACTCCTTGCAGACAGCTGGTCGTTTGCATCCTTTTTAGTGAGCCGTTGAGGCCACTTGGGGGTTTATCGGTGTCTTCGGGGTCACCTGAATCAGAATACAAATGGGTGTAGAAAAAGGGGTGTCAAACTGGATTTCGTCAACGGGCAGATCAGCATTGTAGTTCTCCGCGGGAAAGTCGGGCGGGGAGGCAGGGGGGAGATGGGACGGACGGCTCCTGCAGCACCCTGCTGCCGCCCCCCCCCCCCCCGTGCCTTGTTTTTGCCCTCCACGGCCTCCAGCAGCACTCTGCCAGCCAAAAACTGGCAGGGGCACCATGAACCGGTCTTTTAATATTTCCAGGCTGGCTCCGCGGACTGGATTCAGTTTGACACCCCTGGTGTAAAACCTTTTCTGGAACTGCTGGAAGGATTTTGTTGTACACAAGAGATAGATGGTGTCGTATTCCACCACGCTCCCCCTCCCACATTGTGAGAGGGATGTTGAATCTTCAATCCAGTGGTGAAATCCACATTTTTTTACTACTGGTTCTGTGGGCGTGGCTTGGTGGGCGTGGCAAGGGAAAGGTACTAAAAAACCTCCATTCCTACCCCACTCCTGGGGAAAGGATACTGCAAAATCCCCATTCCCTCCACACCCCTGGGGGAAGGATATTGCAAAATCCCCATTCCCTCCCCACTCCTGGGGGAAGGATACTGCAAAATCCCCATTCCCTCCCCACTCCTGGGGAAGGATACTGCAAAATCTCCATTCCCTCCCCACTCCTGGGGGAAGGATATTGCAAAATCCCCATTCCCTCCCCACTCCGGGGAAGGATACTGCAAAATCCCCATTCCCTCCCCACTCCTGGGGAAAGGATACTGCAAAATCTCCATTCCCTCCCCACTCCTGGGGAAAGATACTGCAAAATCCCCATTCCCTCCCTACTCCTGGGGGAAGATACTACAAAATCCCCATTCCCTCCCCACTCCTGGGGGAAGGATACTGCAAAATCCCCATTCCCTCCCCACTCCTGGGGAAAAGATACTGCAAAATCCCCATTCCCTCCCCACTCCTGGGCGAAGGATACTGCAAAATCCCCATTCCCTCCCTATTCCTGGGTGAAGGATACTGCAAAATCCCCATTCCCTCCCTACTCCTGGGGAAGGATATTGCAAAACCTCCCTTCCCACCCCACTCTGGGGCCAGCCAGAGGTGGTATTTGCCGGTTCTCCGAACTGCTCAAAATTTCCGCTACCGGTTCTCCAGAACCTGTCAGAACCTGCTGGATTTCACCCCTGCTTCAGTCAATCAATCAATCAGTCAATCAATCAATCGGTCAATCAATCAGAAAAGAGCTGGGAGGGACCTTGGAGGTCTTCTAATCCAACCCCGTGTTGAAGCAAGAGATCCTATACCGTTTCAGACAAATGGCTGTCCAATCTCTTCTTAGAAAACTCCATTGATATGAAGCATCCACAACTTCTGGTGGCAGGCTGTTCCACTGGTCCTCAGTGTTAGGAAGTTTCTCCTTAATTCCAGGTTGCTCCTCTCCTTGATTAGTTTCCATCCGTTGCTTCTTGTCCTGCTTTCTGGTGCTTTGGAGAATAAATTCACCCTTTCCTCTTTTGGGGCAGCCCCTCAAATACTCGAATCTTAATGTGGATGGCCTCTTTGACCCCCCTTTCAAGGGGTCACCCCATCTCCTGTTTACGACACGGTCCTTTCAGCAATCCCAAGAAGGTTCCACACCCATTTGCACTACAGCTAGTCCTCGACTTACAACAGTTCGTTTAGTGAACTGAATGAACGGTTCATTTAGTGACCGTTCAAAGTTATGACGGCACTGGGGGAAAAAGTGGGTTTTTTAGGACCTTTTTTCACACTTACGGCCTCTGTAGCATCCCCATGGTCATGGGTTCAAAATTCAGATGCTTGGCAGCTGACTCATACTTATGACCGTTGCGTTGATCCCCTTTCTGACGAGCAAAATCAATGGGGAAGCCAGATTCACTTAGCAACCTAACTTAACCCAATTTAAGAGCCTTGGTGGAGCAGCGGACTAAAGCGCTGTTAAAGTAGCACTTAGCTGCCAGCTGCCTGCAATTACTGCGAGTTCAAATCTCACCAGGCTCAAGGTTGACTCAGCCTTCCATCCTTCCGAGGTAGGTAAAATGAGGACCCAGATTGTGGGGGCAATAAGCTGACTTTGTATAAAATATACAAAAGAATGAAGGCTATTGCTTAACGTATTGTAAGCCGCCCTGAGTCTCCGGAGAAGGGCGGCATATAAATCAAATCAATCAATCAATCAATCAATCAATCAATCAATAAATAAATAAATCGCATGGCTGAACAACATATGGCCAGAAAGTTTGTAA